AAACCGTCCGTCTGCCTCTAAGCAGAATCCGTCCGTCTGCCATCCGTCCGTCTGCCTCTAAGCAGCCTCCCTGCCTCCGCGTTCCTACCGGTCGCAGCTCCTCGTGTAAGTCTCATTGCAGCTCCTGCATAGTCCTCAGACGACGTCGATGACCTCCTCGTTCGAGAACAACTGATCGTGGCCCTCCCGGCCGATGCCCAAGTCTTCCTCCTCCGTCAAGCGCCTCAGACCGCTACCACAACTGTCGAGCAGGCCGAAACTTACCTGCGAACGGAGAGGACAGAGATGGCGCTCCGCAAGTCTCTCCCGGGTTCACCGCCCCTCGCAAACGCGGCGGAAACCTCAGACAACACGTCGTACTGCTCGACCTCCGACACCGTTCCCTCAGTGTAGTAACGATCCATCGAGTCTGTGGTGGTGCAGCTCACCCTCGGTGTGATTGCCCAGCTACAGACAAAGACTCGCAAGAAACTTGGTCACTTCCGCGTGTGTCAACGTGCAACAGCGCCAACGTGACACAGGTCAGAAATCCGTGGGATGTGTTACTGTAAGTACCACCACAGCACCAAACAGTCATGCTGTCCGTGAGTGCGATGCTGACATGGACTCTCCATGTAACTCCATGTACTTTCTACATGTGCTTGTATTCTGTACTCGTAGAGTCGCACTGTGATCTCTGCGTCTTACTCTTTGTGCTCACACTCCTTCCACATAACGCATGGTTGTGCTCTTTCTCTGCTGGCTCTAGTATCAAAATACTCCAGTTCTATTTGGCCTCTTTGCCCTCTGTTTTCACTCTTTGCTCGAAAGGGGAGATGTTGTATCATCTGTATCATGCCTGTCATGATTGTCTGAAGCTATTGTCTGTGTTGTGGTTGACTTCACTCTTTAGTACTATTGACTGGCCTTTCGTACAATACCTATTGATGTCTAGAGACATACTGTCTAGCCTTCCCCTCGTGCGCTTATTGATACACTATCCAGAAGTCCAGTGGCTCTCCTTCTACCGCTCTCTATCTCGCTATACTCTTCTTCACACTCTATAAGTTCGTGTCTTCTTTACAATAAAATCAGTTCAGTGACTGACGAGTTCGAGATCACAACAACCATAACGGTATGAAGAAGGCATGCTAATCCAGAAAAATGTCTACCACACTAATGGTGCCAGATTAGAAAAGAACAATTGTACTATGAATTTCGCAGGTCACCACTCCAAAATCAATAACACCATTTTATACGCTTCAAAGTACTTTCATTATTTCCGTTGAATTCTGGTCTAGCAAGAACTGATAAACTATGCCCCTGGCCGGCAAAGAAAGTTAGGAAATTTCTTTTCACAACGAGGGCTGATTCCAGATTCCCCAATTTGACAAGAAGGGTAGCATTTGTTTGTCCAAGATATGGTTCAATGAGAACAGTGAAATGCTACATGGTTGGATATCCTGCTTTGCTAACTGCAAATCCCAAATTGACACCCACACAGTCAAACAAGCACATGTTACCACACTCTTCTCAAGAAGATTCATTTCTTAGAGGCATTCAATCTTGATGGCCAGGTTCTTGACTGGAGGATGCTTTCACTAGAAGAACCTCTCCCGGATTGCATGTAGCTGAACAAACAGAACGCACATGCTCAAAGAACCATAACAAACACGCGTGCACGCAATGAAAATGACAACTGAAGATAGATCTCTCGTTCAGGCACGGTATCACATGGTGTATGGATTTGTATTGAGCTGCACAGGAACCTGCTGAGAAAGAGGCAACAGTTCCATGGGGAGGGGGCAATGTGCTACTTGTCCTATTCTGCAAAGCGATGTGTGAACATCCTGGGAGAGGTTTGTCAATTCAGCTTGTTGCCTCAAATCGACTTGGGGAATTTACAGCCAGACTTTCGGCATTGCAATGGCATGGTAGAAATGTCTTCACGCGCACACGGAAACAGAAGAAAAGTGAACAAAAGAGAAGCAACTGATGAAAAGAAATCAAATCATAAAATTATAAAGGGTCATAAGCACACTCGTGAAGACAAGTCTACCACAGCCAGGATACGCACGTTTTTGAGAAGGAAGATGTGGTATGTCACCTGGGAATACTAGATATGCGGTTCACTGATCCAGAAAGTCAAGCGTTGGATAACATCATGCGTCCGACATTCAAAATGCAACTCGCTCCTCCCCCAAGGACTGTTTTCATTCCAAGCGAAGAATGTGTCTTTCCAGGGTGCAGCTATGATGGAGTATGAAGCATTTCAATTTTGATGCGAATCAACTGTCAAAAGTCAAACTTACCGGAGCGCTTTGTGGTGAAAGCCGCTGATAGGGTTTTGATGAAGTGGGCAAAGTGCAGCAGTTGTCTTCTCAACCGTGGCCGGTTTCGGCATGTAGATCTACAGGGCCTGCAATGTAAACATAAATAGGCAACCGACACAGTGAGTATTGCACCGTGAACGAGATGGCAAGCAACACATCATGCCAGTGCCAGAGGTACAGCCTACATGACTGTACACGACTGCATGTTTACTTTATTCTGAAGTTAGGCCACCCTTTCTTTTTTCGTTGTTTAACGTCCGCGCCCGCGTACCTTTTTGCCTCCGACCGGAAAAAAAAACAAGAAAGTAGTAGTACCAATAATATGCGAAGTTGTAAATACATGATTGTGTAGTTTCACAGTGTGCCGATCATGACCTTAAACTTTTATAATCTTGCCTCCCGGGCATGCCTTTGTCTTGTGTTCTTTTTCTTTTTTTGTTGGCTTTTAAATATCGTACGGTGTGTGTCCTAGTAAAAATCCAGATGTAATGAATTCATGACATGCTAACTCCATGCTATGTACCTGTTTTGTTGGATTCATCAGGCATGTGCTCCAATGTACCATCAAAGAGTGTTGTTCTATGCCTGCAAGTGCCGTTAGACCCAGAAATATTGTATATATCACATGCTTTACTGGTCAAAATGTTTGATTGGGGTTTCCAGTTTTTGGAATGGGCTTTTGTTTTTTTTCCGCCCTCCCGCGTACCTTTTCGCGAAAAAAAGGACGTTAAACAATGAATTAACAAAGGGTGGCCTTAGTTCAGAAAGGAAGGTCCGAATAGACTGCATATGGCATTCAAGACTTACGGACAATATTCGTCATGCTCATGTTGTCGTCGGCCTTCGGCCTTGTCGTAACTAGGACCCGACGCAACCAGGCTCTGGTAACTTGGTAAGCCAACCACTATGCATGCAAGACACTGGTAGCGGAAGGCGTACTTGGCCAGTTTATGTGGCGCATGCGCATGTTAGTCGACGATGGACTGATTTCAACTGCAAAGGTCTTCGAACGTGCAAGTTCAAGTCTACATGTAGCATCTGGAAGGGTAGATCTTCATGAAGCATCTGGAAGGAATATTGAAATGAACAGGACAAACCGAAACAACGCTGCGTTACAGCGAACAGCAGAAAACCGAAAATGTTCACCGCTGCATTTGGGCAGGCCAGAAAACGCAATGTACATTTGAAACAACAGCTGAACCACCGGTAGACCATTGCAAAAGAGAACATGCGCGCTATAAGCAAAACGTGTTGACCACAAATGAACAACTTCAAGCAGAAACCAACTTGTAATTGAGTGAAGGGCTTGCACGCACAAATTGTCCGATGTTGAAACAATACCATTCGCATAGCACAATCACCAGTTACAGCGATGAACTTCCGACCACATGGGCTCACCTTGCAGCTTGCTTGAGCGTTCGTCGCTGGACCTTTGCGGCCAATACTCAGCCAGCTATAGCTAGTAGTACTGCTCTTCCAACATACATGTACATGACTGTACATGGCTATTCACGGTTGTCACATACACAAACTAAGATACTGCCATGGCTGCCTGGAAAGAAAACAGCCAGGAAAGACAACACTTCTGTTCTGGAAGGAAAGACGAGGCTGTGTGAACACTGAACAGTGAAGAAAGAAGCGGGAGGAACGCTGCTTTGTTATATCGGAGCATGCGCACCAGGTCCGATTCCGAGCAGGTGCTCTACGTTGATTGGTTGGAAACAAGTAGCCATGGTCATGTGCGGCTGCTTGATCATCAGTGACCCAAATGTGTTGGTGACCTTTGAACTCCTGACCCCTTGATCATCAATAATAATAATTATTATTCTTGATTTGATGTCTACTAGACAGCCCCCCCCCCCCCTTCCCCGGGCCCTCCTAGAATGCTAGATCCTGCCGCCCCGGTGCGGATTATGATCATTCTGGTTTTCACAACTCCCTGGCCTGGTTTGGACTTTCATGTAGACTCTACACGTGTAGTCGTTTCCAACTCCAAGACTGCATGCAAGAGACGACCATCGTACTTCAGAGATGTAGATCTGCTACTACACAGACCGACTACAAAATGTAATGTACAATACAGTCATGTCATAAAAATTAATCTGCATTCCACTCAACGACAATCACAGCCATCGGTATCACCAAGATAGCTAGCGGGCTTACTGTGCTTTAGCTGTGGAGTGATTATGGCTTACTTGCCACAACTCTTTATCGTGTCTTCATGATAATGATTGCCAAGACACGATAAAGAGTTGTTAGGACGAACACCATGAGTCACAGAGCCTGAGCCAAGCGGCCTGAGGTGTGAGACCGAGGACTTGTGAAGTACGAAGAAAAAGCGGTGGAACTGGAAGATAACAAAAACGACAAAAAACTAGTATAATGCATCATGCATGGACAGAAGCTGAGGTCCAGTGAGAGGAGGTGTCAGACAGGTCACTCAAGATGCTGTCTGTCTGTCTGTCTCACTCACACTACGTATACACTACACTGTAGTCTGGCCGAGTCTCCACTCAGACTTCGGTCTCCATGCATGGTCTCAAGCCAGCATGACGATCCTCAGATCGATCCTGGGTACAGTAGTTACATGATGGTAGTAAGTAATAGTTAGTTGATCCCGAGCCCGTCTTTAGCTTTGACTAGTTTGAGACTTTGTAGGGTGTCAACAACCGACTACACTACATCGTCAGTACGACAGTAGATCTACATGACATGATTGTACCATTTCAATCATTTCAGCTGCTTCAGTGCTTGTACGGAGTCTCTGGCCTGAGCTGCTGTAGCTCTTTGTCGACACCGTCACCTAAGTCCTTTGTAGAGCCATCCGAGCGGACATGACAGATTAAAAAAATCGTTGTACTTGCTGAAGCCTCGTTAGCGGTGCCGTCGTATTAGCGGCACTCTAATTGACATTCAGTTATGGAGGTGGAAGTATTGCAGTTATTATAATAGTGATGATGTGTATTAGAAGTAGTGATTCGTTAGTTTTACGCGTTCTGTCGCACTAGCTAGAAGCCGTGTTGTGGTAAGGGCCGTGGCTAGCTCTTGTCTTGGTGGGTTCAGCCGAAAGCAGTGAGATAAAGACTTCATGTACCGAAACGGCACAACCTTGCGTTGAAATAAGGAAGGTGAGCGAACTAAAAATGTGTGACTGTAATATTAGCTCTACGAGGCTAAAAACTCATGAGCTGTTCAAGCTGCGTGAGTAACTGGAATTAGAATCTGCCTTGTCTGGGGCTCGCAGGAATGCAACAACACTCTGTTCTTCACTGATGCAGATATTATGAGCCAAGTCTCTCTTCTGCAAAAAAGAAGTGCATGTCAGTGACCCATGAAAGTGCACTTGCTGTGCCTGACAGTGACATGGATATGGCTGAGCTGATCACTCTAACCTACACTGAGCCTACAGGCCACACCTTGTAGCTATGTGACATGATTGTACTGTACTGTACTCATCTTTTGAGCACACCTACACCATGTACACTGTACGCTCTGTCTCTTTGAAACAAAATAAATGCACAGGTACTACTCAGTCCATGTATCACAAACACAATTTAGGCACTACATGCGCACACGTACGCCTTATACACACGTACACCTTATACACACCACACACACACACCTACACGCACACACACAACACACACACACACACACACACACACACACACACACACACACACACACACACACACACCACACACACACGAGGTGTGTGTGGTGTGCAAGGATACAGAACCCTCCAGTAGGCAGACTGTCGGTTCACAATGCCCCACCTACACAGCTGTGTTACTTGATCATCAATGGTTGTTGTACTGTCAATCCTCAATTTATGTGTCATATCTTCAAGTTTGTCCAATTGCAAAATATTGGTATTGGTCTTGAACTTGATTTGTGTTCTTTTCAATTTGTAAAAGGGACATATTTGCACACATGCACATGCGCACATGTATACCTGCACCCGCATGTACACTGTGCATACACATACCTAGTAGTGCATACTTGCCCTCCTACACTGGACATACGTACACATCTGAGTAAACCTACATACACTCAGACCATCTCACCTGAACCTTGGGGCTTGACTGCTTCTGTGCAAGTGCACATGCCATGGTGATGATAGTTGCTTGTCCGTCATTGAAAAATGCAAGAAGGTATGTGGCACTGAAAGTCACCAGGGCGGCCTTTGGACAATGAAGATGAGAAATGCGCTTGCATGATGGATCTTCCAATTCTCCTGAAACACTGCCATGGGCGTCAATTTCATGCAGTGTAATACCATTCAGATTGAGGGAGGGAGAGAGAGAGAGAGAGAGAGAGAGAGAGAGAGAGAGAGAGAGAGAGAGAGAGAGAGAGAGAGAGAGAGAGAGAGACGGACAGACAGACAGACAGAGACAGGCGAGCAGAGGCAGTCGGAGAGAGAGAGAGGGGCAGAGGCAGGGGGGGGGGGGGGGGGCTGGTCTGGATGCACCCTAATCCACCACTTTCTGGTATTATGTCGGGGTCTTGTGGCCAGCAGCACTCCACAAAGAATACATGTGTACAATAAAAAAATCATTAGAGGAAGACTAATCAGCCCTCATAACACTGAAACCACTAAAAAAACCGATGAGGCTGTTTGCACCAGTTTTATTCTTCTGTTGCAATGGTGATATCAGCGAATGAGAAAAAAATGTCATTTTACGACTTTATAGGCGGCAAGAACAGTGACAAAGTGACAGCGAAGAGAGCGCGAGTGGCGCTAACTGCAGAGCAGCTTATTGCCTGCAACAAGAAGCACACAGAAATGGTGATACAGCAATGAGGTATAAATACAAGGTCACACCAGTGGCGACATTCATTTTGCACGTGCACTGGCAACTTTGCAAGCAACGACCCTGGATGGTGCATGGAAAAGTGTCGTTATTCACGAGTTGTCGCTCTTTGTGACTCTGAAAGTGTGCTGTCAAATGGTCACTAGGTCTGATGATAATGTCGTTATTCACGAGTTGTCAATGTACTGAAGACCCCAGTGTAGTGCTGCGTGATTCTTGTTCCCTGAGACAATAAGCTGCTCTTTAGTTGTCGCCTCTTGCACTCTTTTTGGCGTTGATTTGTCACTTCCCTTGCCGCCTTCAAAGATGTATAAATGACATTGTTTCCTCACTTACTGACATCAGCATAAAGTGACATGATTTTGAAGGGGTAATTGTTTGAAAGGCCTCACTTCCAGTGGCTTTTATATGGCGTGTGCGGACACACAATAACACAGTCACATAGACTTTAATAGTGATACAAATACGGTGGAGCAAGTTGATAGGTATGTAGTTACTGGTCTGTTGATTTTGTTGAGTGGTGAAGGTTGTTGACATTTACTAGAAGGACATGCAGATATTCGCGGTTACACAATGCACAAGAAATATTGTGCTTCCTTTATGCTGGAAGTTAAGCAGTAGTATAGTATAGTACTTATTATTGGTATCATTTACACCATGGTATTTGTGGCCAAGTCATATTCATTGCTAGTGGTGTGCCTTCTCGTGCTTGTGTTGGCAGGAGCTAGAGCGGGTGCTGGTCTTGTGTCGATACAATGGCGAGCTCCTCATCTGGCAGTGGTGGGCACGCTGCAAAGCCATTTCAGAGTCTGAGCACTAGCGCTGGCCAGTCGCTGACATTGTTGGAGAAGTTTTGCAGTCAACAGGAACCGGCAAGTGCTGGAAGCTCCGCTCCTGGCGCAGGGGCCGGCCGGTCTAAGAAACGCAAAGCCAGCAGCTTTGATGCACCCGATGGTGGTGTGATCAGTCGCACAATCGTGGATCTTACTGAACATGAAGAAGACGAGCGTAGATTGGCGGAGAAGAGCAGGATGGATGCCAGTCTAATGAAGACTTTGGTTCGGACGAAAGAAGATGCCCATGTAAGTTATACTGGTGTGGCTATCTGAAACTGATCAAGACTAGGGCATGCATGTGGTGGATTTGACAGTAACATCCAGCATGGCGTATTCACTGCTTGTACAGTGCTATCCAGTGTCTCCAATAACATTTAGCCGGTCCAGCCGCCTTAGCCGGTTCCTGCAGGCATGAAGGGAAAGAGGGACTTGCTTATATGGCTTTATGGGCATAGTGTACCCCTGACAATGCAGCTTTGGTTACCATAGCAACTGTGAATACACCCCAGACTATGCCCTTGTATTTGCCATAACGTTATCGCATGAATTTGCCTACCTTGGTTACACAGCAACTCCCAACATTCTAGTGATCTTTTCAGTGATCATCTATATGCTTCCCTCTACTTCCTGTATGCTCTCAGTTCTTAGTTGAAACTGCTCTGTACTGTCAGCTGTTGCAAGGCGAGAATGAGAAACTCAAGGCCCAGGTAATGTTATGAAGTCAATAGGACAGCATTGTGGGATTCATAAGTTTGGTCTAGTTGAAAAATGTGAACTGTCGGGAAGAACATTGACTGTCTGAACAAGACCAGAACCAGGGACCTCCGCTCGGAAAGCAGCATTGTTACATAGATAATGCATACATTGATGATGCTTATGAAACTGCATACATAGATATTATTGAGGCTAGTGACTCTGACCATCTACTGAGTATTTCATCCATATCTCTTCTGGCGAATATTGAATGTACCTGAACAAGCATGCACTTGAATATGTCACCAGGGTAATGTTATTGAAGGGATCACGCTAGACATTTTATTCCAACTGAATCGCTCCACCGGGTTGCTTATTTCATTGTTACATCAGAGTATAATGCGTGAGGAACGATGATCATATGTATTGTCACTCTGTATCAGGTTGGACGAATAAGCGATGAGAATCGCTGGCTCAGAGATGAAGTCAACCAATTCCAAGACAAGCTGCGGACATGTGAGATATCTTTGGTGCAGGTCACAGAGGAGAGAGATCACTTCAAGCACATGGCAACGGTGTTGCAGGATGATACTGGTGGTGATTCTCTGATGACTGACGAAGACAAGGTCAGCTTGCAGTTAGTAGACTCTAGGTGATGCAATGCAGCCTGTGCAGTGCCGTTGACGCTTTATTGTTTTTTTTTCTTCTTTTTTTTCTACAAAATCCACATATCTCCAGACACTGGGGTGAATGATGGGGTGTGGTGGTGGGGACCATTGAGCTCCGCCGACCAGAGGTCTCGGCTTCATAGCTCCATGTATCGAGGAAGTTCTTTTCCATTTGTATGTGTGTGATGTTCGTATATGAAGGGTATTGCTTGGTCATTTTAGGGTCGGTTTGGTTACACTAGGCATGACAAATTGACAATACAACGTTACATGCATGGTTGATTTAATTGAAACTGTCACATGGTTATGTACTACAGACATGTGTCAAGTGTCATTCCTCACATAAATTGTGCATGTAGCATGAAATAGTCTATACAGGACTCCCAATTAACTTGCTAGAAATAATGTTTTCAAGTGCGAGTGAGTTCAATTTAGGAGGCCTGTTTTGAGGTTTGGGTTGACCTCTACAATGGGTACACCCGCTGAGTGGGTGAAGCTAATCCAAGATTGTGCGTATGAGCTCGATGCGCTGGTCATTATGACTGGCGAGTGAACCGCATGTCTACCCATCATTGAGTCACGTGATATTTACAGTTCGGCAACACACATTGTTACCTCAGGCAGGGGAAACCAGCATGTGGCTTCTGTTTTCTGTCTATCTCCACCATCTTGCCAGCAGCAGCAGGCACAGTCTTTACCATCGCCAGTCGGTGTTTCAATGGAGGATAGTGCACCGGAAGATGAACAAGATGGAGGCATTGAAGCAAGTAAGTTGCAAAAGGAGCTCCATTTTATCCTGCATACATCTGCTGATCATGATGGTACATGTTTTCAGGGCCTATGCAAGAGAGGAGCGGACAAAAACCGAAAGTATTGTTTCTCTGAATTTCATGCACATGGTGTTGTCTAGACAAGATACATAACCTCTATTTTGTGTGCCTTCAGACACCTTTGGGTAAACTGACTTTCAATTCAGTTCAAATGTAGTTTGAATATGTTCAAGATTTTGAAAGGGATTGTGGATCTCCTTCTTTCTTCGACAGTTGCCCCATGTACCTCATCCAGTGCCTTTGTATATAATTATTTTGATGTTCTTCAGTTGAGGAAAGTACAATGTCTCCAAGCAATCGGTCCAGCGTTGCATCATCCGCGTCCGATGCCATGCAAGTACCGCAACGACTGCGTACTCTACACAACCTGGTTATCCAGTATGCATCTCAGGTGAGGGTCTCAGACTCTTATCCTTTGCCAAGGTTTGAAACCTAGGCATTACATCTCATTGTGTGGTTACCTGTAGTTATTCAGGTTCTAGGGACTATGGAAGGGAGAGAAACTCACCATGGCTATGGAAGGGAGAGAAACTTGTTGGAGAACATGCACTCCACGCCGGCTTACGGCCAGTTCACTCACAACACCACAGAGCTTCCAAGGAAATTAGTTATTCTTCTAGATGGAAAATGAGAAACGTCTGTTATCACCACAAGTTGGAACTAACTCCACGCCAAGATCAAACGGAAGCTAAGCCAGAAAAAGAACCATGGCCAGCTTGCCAAAAGTAACGCGTAGCAAGCGTGCACGCAAGCACACTCCATACATAAGTCAGGATGCACACAAAAGCTACAAACTCGGAATAAGGGCAGCGCAGACCACGCCGAAACCGCAACTAGAAGATTGACCGCTGACAGGTCAATCAGTGAATGGAAAAGCATGCACCACCGCGCAGACGCGCACTCACTAACCTACAATCAATACACGGAAAATGGCATCACGCAGAAGGTATACCAAGCAGAGCATGCACAAGTAACAATACAGTTCCAGCCAGTGGCTGCCACGTTACCATAAACTACAACATCTCCCTCCCTGGTAACATCACCTTAAAAAGACAATAATAGGCAAGCACATCGAAAGAAGCAAAGAGAAACGAAAGGACATGAAAGTTCTGCGAACCATCACCAGCTACTAGTTCTCAGTCGTATCTCACTGGAGCCCTGATACCAGCTCTGTTCCGGAGCACATATCTTGGCTCTTCAGCTCTAGGCACACCTGCGACTAGCTCACCGGGCTCTAGCCGCATCGGGTAACCACCGTCATCCTCGCTCGCATCATCTGGCTGAGGCGGCTCAGGCAGGTCTACAGTAGGATTGGCTGCGGCACGCTTCAGCAGCTCTACGTTGACGATCTTCTCCACCCTGGGGTCTTCCACTTTCTGAACGACTACAGTCGACTCCGACAACACCTTCTTGACTCTCCAGCCAAGCTGAAACTTCGGGAGGCGTTTCTGCGCGCGGCTGGTCATCTTCATCATCACCACGTCACCAGGCCCGTAACAGCAACTTGCTTTGTCGGCGTCTTCTTGGGAATCAGCTGACGCCATTTCTTCATCGATCAAATCACGAATGGCAGCTGCTTGACGCTGCAGCTCAGCCGTCCATGCTGGCAAGGTGTACAGGGGCTGTTGGGCCTCTACAACAAGACCACGGGGCTGCCAACCAGTCATCGCTAGCTGAGGCGAAACTCCCGTTGCTCCATGCGGTCGGACACGATAGAAGTACAGCAGCATTGACAGGTCGGTCTTCCAGTCGTTGGACTGCGAGTGTACTTTGCGAATCAGAGTCAACAGGGTCCGGTTGAATCTCTCCACGCTTCCTTGTGACTGAGGGTGTCGCACTGCACCGTGCTTGACTTCCACTCCAAACGCCAAGTACAAGGCGTCCATGACAGCATTGACGAACTCTGTTCCGTTGTCTGATCTGACCACCTCCGGCGGACCCCATCGGCAGCACACAGACACAAACGCCTCGGCAACTGACTTAGCGTCATGGTGCTTCAAAGGTATCACCTCCACATAGCGCGTGAACATATCCGTACACACCAAGACGCAATGGAACCCAGCTCGGCTCGGTCCTAGCTCCAAGGTATCAATCGCCACAACTTGCCATGGGCGCGCCGGCACTTCGGGACGTGTCGGCGAAGCATGACCACCAGCAGCAGGGTTTGCAGCGGCACAACTGTCGCAAAGACCGACGAACTCCTGGCACTTCCTTGCCATCCCAGGAAGGTAGCACTGCTGACGCATCATCTCATGGACCACCTCCCATGATCCGTGGCCAGTGTTCTCATGGGCGATTCGGAGGGCATCTTGCTCTAGCAAGCTCGGAATCACGGGCACCTCGCATGCTTCATTGGCAGGCGGCAACTTGATTGACCGATACAGCACGCCATCCCGCACTCTCAGCTGTGGTGCCACCTTCTGAAACTGCTTCGCCCTAACTGTCTGCATACCGTTGACATCCTCCACCGTCTGCTGGATGGCAGTATCTGCTCCCTGCTGGTCCCGGATGATGTCGAAGGCAAGTGGGGCAGAACTGTGGACACCTGCACACGCACTGCTCTGGGTCGCCGCCGCAACCACCGGTGACTCGGGCATCTTGAGCCAGGATGCCGGCACACGGGTCAGACGGTCAGCCAGGTTTTTCTGTGAAGGCACCCACTCGACAGATATCTTCAACTTGTAAACCTCGACCAAGTCGTCAATCAGCTGCAATCTACGCTCTACAAGAGCTCTGTAGAGGCCATTCACCTTCACTCGCTGGATGTTGCCCAAGAGAGACTTTAGCCATCCATGCACCGTCTTCGAATCGGTCATGACTCGAACGTTGGCCACTCTGTGATCCACGACAGCAGACAAGCCACGAAGGACGGCGTCTAACTCGGCAACGTTGATGTGCCGCTTGTCTGACTTAGGCCTGAGCCAACAGTGATCCTCAATCACGGAGCCATCTTCGCTGATGACAACACCTAGCGCCAGGTTGGATGCATCGCACCATAGGGACACGCCACCAGTCGACTTGACTGTCCACTTGCCGTTGACGGGATCCTCTCGTGAAACTTGATCCTCCACCGCACGACACAACTTCTCGAGCGCAGCTGAGACAGGCTTATCCCAAACCGCAGCATCTTCACAGCTCACTCGCTTGATGTAGCTACAGCACGGTCGCAGCCACGATGCAACAGGGTAATGACTCGTCAATCGACCGCACCAGGAGAACACTTCTCGCTTCGTCGGCTGCTCTGGCAACGTCAGATCCATGCCATCACGGCGACGCCACATCACGTCTTCACTCGACGTAGCAACCGATAGTTGCATGCCAAGCACCCTTGCGCCGGCAAGTACCTCTGGTGGCTTCGTCGGTAATCCGTACCGACTCAGCGCCGCAGTCACCTCCGGAAGTTGTTCGGACGGAGCAACGACATCGTCGACATAGTTGTCTGCATCAGGAAAGTCGCACAGCGCAAACTTCACGATGGCGTCCATGACTTTCGGAGCTATGCTGAGACCAAATGCCATTCGTTCCATGACATACGTGACTCCATTGAATACCACGGTCTGATACCGAACGAGGCTGGGGTCGACGTGAACTTGTAAAAACGCCTTCTTGATATCGACGACTACCTGGTCACCGCCACGGCGTCTCCACTCCCTGATCTTCTGGTCGCATGCAGGCGCGTCGCCTCCAGGATGGGAAAGAATCGCCTCATTCAAACGACGGTAGTCTAAGCAGGGACGTACAGGCGTAGACGCCTTGTGTCCTTGACACACAGCCATTAGAGGGAGGATCGCACCTGACTTGCCGTGTCGATCTGGATCATGGGGCACCATCCAACCATGGTCGATCCACGACTGCACCTCCTTCTGGTACTGTTGCTCCTGCTCTGCAGAGAGCTTCTTCCGTGAGTACTGTGTCACTCCGGAGCCAATGCTATCAGTCGGCTCTACACCACCTCCCCAGACCCAGGCGACGGTCCACGACTTTGCACTATTGTCCCAGCGCACCTTGAAATCGGCTGAACTGAGGGTGACACCATCCGAATCTCGCTCAACAGAGATGTGCCTCGAGAGCTTCTGCTTCGGCGCTCGTTCAGCATGGCCAGCTGCGGCAGCCGCTACATCGGGCCCTTTTCCGAACCGAATAGCACTCGCCGAGCCATTCTGGTAGCGTATCTCAAGACCACCAGCCGCGCTGGCAACGTCATTGCCAAGAATCAGGTCAGCATCCACTCCCTCATGCTTTGAAACTACCAGGAAGTCCACGCACAGTTCCAGAAGCTGAACTATATCATCATGTTGCTGGACAGTCGCAGCAACAGATCCAACTGACTCCAGGGACGTGCCGTCGATGCCGACCACCCAGTCAGTTGTCGATTCCACCTGATCAGCCAGGCCCACGGCAGTTACTACACTCTCTTTCATCAGAGATCGCGTGCATCCAGTATCCACAACCGCTGCGACTGATATCCAAGAGTCATCATGGCCCTTAACACACACATCAACTTTCAGCAGCTTAGAGCTCTGCCCACCAGTTGATATTGGGATTCCGTCAGCATCAGTAGACACTCCAGCCTGACAATGCCCAGCACTCACAGCCACTGAAGCAGACTCAGTCTTGGCCTTTGGACAATTTCGCCTGATGTGGCCATACTCTTTGCAAGAGTAACACTGTGGCCCTCGTGACTTGCCAGTGGTGTGGCTGTTGCCCTTGGCCTTAGGGCAATTCCTTCTTACATGACCAGGCTCCTTACATGAATAGCACTTGACAGCTGCAGCCACGGACTTCCCTCCACTGACACTTATAGTATCATCGACGGACATAGCCCTGACACGTTTGATCATATCGGTAAGAGTCATGCTACCGCTAGAGCACTGGATTCTCACCTCTCTGGCGAAGTCTCTGGGCAAGCCCCCAACAAACTGTTCTAACAGCATCGGATCTTTGTCGTCCGCAATGTTGTGACCAGAGCTCTTCAACAGCCTCTTTAGCTCCGCCGCATACTCGTCTACTGACTCTGTGGATCCCATGGAACGCGCTTTGAACAAGCGGTAACACTCCGCAGCAGAAGGAGCAAAGGCTTCAGTCAACACCTTCTTCACCTCGTCAGGTTTCTCCTTGTCCCCGTCGGGCATGGCGTTGAATACAGTATACGCAGCCTTATCCAAGAGCAACGGCAAGTTTGCCATCTGCTCTTTGCCCGTATCCCACTTGTGGGATTTCGCCAGGATCATAAACTTTGACCAGAATACATCTAGGTCGTCACCTCGCCCTCGGTACGGACGCATAAATCCATCCAACTTCACAGACATTTTATTCTCATGAACAAACACTAAGACTTTCTATTTCCTTCCGACTCCACAAAAGTCCTACTCTGCAACACGTTGTCCCGGGTTTCGGCACCAAAAGCTGTTGGAGAACATGCACTCCACGCCGGCTTACGGCCAGTTCACTCACAACACCACAGAGCTTCCAAGGAAATTAGTTATTCTTCTAGATGGAAAATGAGAAACGTCTGTTATCACCACAAGTTGGAACTAACTCCACGCCAAGATCAAACGGAAGCTAAGCCAGAAAAAGAACCATGGCCAGCTTGCCAAAAGTAACGCGTAGCAAGCGTGCACGCAAGCACACTCCATACATAAGTCAGGATGCACACAAAAGCTACAAACTCGGAATAAGGGCAGCGCAGACCACGCCGAAACCGCAACTAGAAGATTGACCGCTGACAGGTCAATCAGTGAATGGAAAAGCATGCACCACCGCGCAGACGCGCACTCACTAACCTACAATCAATACACGGAAAATGGCATCACGCAGAAGGTATACCAAGCAGAGCATGCACAAGTAACAATACAGTTCCAGCCAGTGGCTGCCACGTTACCATAAACTACAACAAACTCACCATGGCTATGGAAGGGAGAGAAACTCACCAGGGCTATGGAAGGGAGAGAAACTCACCATGGCTATGGAAGGGAGAGAAACTCACCATGGCTATGGAAGGGAGAGAAACTCACCATGGCTATGGAAGGGAGAGAAACTCACCATGGCTATGGAAGGGAGAGAAACTCACCAGGGCTATGGAAGGGAGAGAAACTCACCAGGGCTATGGACAATGCGGTACACTGTAATACAGTGGTCGTATGCATGTTGTCTGGTATTGTTACTTAAAGTCTGTCCGCACTTTAGGATGGTGTATTTCTATTTCTGACACATTCTCTCATCTCTCTATCTCTCTCTCTCTCTCTCTCTCTCTCTCTCCTTCTCTCTCTCTCTCTCTCTCCCTCTCTCTCTCTCTCTCTCTCTCTCTCTCTCTCTCTCTCTCTCTCTCTCCCTCTCTCTCTCCCTCTCTCTCTCTCCCTCTCTCTCTCTCTCTCTCTCTCTCTCTCTCTCTCTCTCTCTCTCTCTCTCTCTCTCTCTCTCTCTCTCTCTCTCTCTCTCTCTTCTCCCTCTCTCTCTCTCACTCTCTCTCTCTCTCTCTCTCTCTCTCTCTCTCTCCCTCTTTGACTAACCCGGTCGTTCTTGTTTTGCACAGGGACGCTATGAAGTAGCTGTACCGCTCTGCAAACAAGCATTAGATGACATAGAGCGCACACAGGGCAAAGATCATCCGGACTGTGCAACTATGCTGAACATACTGGCAATGGTCTATAGGTATGTAACACATGTGCAGATTTCATGAATCGTCTGTACCTGCACCAACACCTTTCTCCAGTATATTAACCCGACTGCTGCATGGACGATAAGTGCTGCGAATAGTGATCATGCGCCCTGGCCTGAGTAGCTCGCTTGGCTAATTGAAAGTCTGCCGACCTGGGCCACATTATGTTGCTAAGGCATGCACAACCCCAGTCACAGCGCGCAAGTTGGTTGAGTTTGGCCGTCAGGAGGCCAGCGCAAGGTATCCGGGGCGCGGGTCTGATTCCAGCGAGGGGCAATGTGGTACCCCGCAGCGCAAGGGTAGCGTGATACCCTAAGCCAGCGTGCGTGCTGCATGAGTAGCGTGATACTCGCTGAGCGCTTTTGCTGTTGCCTAGCAACGCGTTTCTGTCTTTCCTGGGCCCCCAACGCATGTTGGGTGGCCCTGCGCATGACTGCACGTTGTCATAGCAACCTTGGAAACCTCAAGCCGGTTACCAACAAGCTAGGAATCAGACCAAGCCGCCGAATGCCCCCGCCGGCCCCCGGCGCTTCATTGCAATTGAATTAATATTTGTCCAGAATAGTGAGCTAGGACAGATCAAGAGGCGTGGGTGGGAGGGAGAAATTGCAAAACAGTTGGATGCACGCAGCAGCACAGCTAGCAAGAGAAAGAGCCGTGGATGGGTTTGTTCCTGTTTTTGATGGCTGTGGCCATCCGTTGGCCCAGCGGTCTCGTGTGAGTACGGTGTTTGTTCGTGCTGCCAGCTCGCGCCCGGCATTTGTTTGCGCTGGCAGCTCGGGCCCGGTGCGCGAGTGAAACCGAACCGTGACAAAAGGCTTTCGCTCTTTAGTGCTATTGACTGGCTTTTCATACGATGCCTATTGATGTCTAGAGACATGCTGTCTAGCCTTCCCCTAGTACGCTGTTGTAGTTTATGGTAACGTGGCAGCCACTGGCTGGAACTGTATTGTTACTTGTGCATGCTCTGCTTGGTATACCTTCTGCGTGATGCCATTTTCCGTGTATTGATTGTAGGTTAGTGAGTGCGCGTCTGCGCGGTGGTGCATGCTTTTCCATTCACTGATTGACCTGTCAGCGGTCAATCTTCTAGTTGCGGTTTCGGCGTGGTCTGCGCTGCCCTTATTCCGAGTTTGTAGCTTTTGTGTGCATCCTGACTTATGTATGGAGTGTGCTTGCGTGCACGCTTGCTACGCGTTACTTTTGGCAAGCTGGCCATGGTTCTTTTTCTGGCGTAGCTTCCGTTTGATCTTGGCGTGGAGTTAGTTCCAACTTGTGGTGATAACAGACGTTTCTCATTTTCCATCTAGAAGAATAACTAATTTCCTTGGAAGCTCTGTGGTGTTGTGAGTGAACTGGCCGTAAGCCGGCGTGGAGTGCATGTTCTCCAACAGCTTTTGGTGCCGAAACCCGGGACAACGTGTTGCAGAGTAGGACTTTTGTGGAGTCGGAAGGAAATAGAAAGTCTTAGTGTTTGTTCATGAGAATAAAATGTCTGTGAAGTTGGATGGATTTATGCGTCCGTACCGAGGGCGAGGTGACGACCTAGATGTATTCTGGTCAAAGTTTATGATCCTGGCGAAATCCCACAAGTGGGATACGGGCAAAGAGCAGATGGCAAACTTGCCGTTGCTCTTGGATAAGGCTGCGTATACTGTATTCAACGCCATGCCCGACTCGGACAAGGAGAAACCTGACGAGGTGAAGAAGGTGTTGACTGAAGCCTTTGCTCCTTCTGCTGCGGAGTGTTACCGCTTGTTCAAAGCGCGTTCCATGGGATCCACAGAGTCAGTAGACGAGTATGCGGCGGAGCTAAAGAGGCTGTTGAAGAGCTCTGGTCACAACATTGCGGACGACAAAGATCCGATGCTGTTAGAACAGTTTGTTGGGGGCTTGCCCAGAGACTTCGCCAGAGAGGTGAGAATCCAGTGCTCTAGCGGTAGCATGACTCTTACCGATATGATCAAACGTGTCAGGGCTATGTCCGTCGATGATACTATAAGTGTCAGTGGAGGGAAGTCCGTGGCTGCAGCTGTCAAGTGCTATTCATGTAAGGAGCCTGGTCATGTAAGAAGGAATTGCCCTAAGGCCAAGGGCAACAGCCACACCACTGGCAAGTCACGAGGGCCACAGTGTTACTCTTGCAAAGAGTATGGCCACATCAGGCGAAATTGTCCAAAGGCCAAGACTGAGTCTGCTTCAGTGGCTGTGAGTGCTGGGCATTGTCAGGCTGGAGTGTCTACTGATGCTGACGGAATCCCAATATCAACTGGTGGGCAGAGCTCTAAGCTGCTGAAAGTTGATGTGTGTGTTAAGGGCCATGATGACTCTTGGATATCAGTCGCAGCGGTTGTGGATACTGGATGCACGCGATCTCTGATGAAAGAGAGTGTAGTAACTGCCGTGGGCCTGGCTGATCAGGTGGAATCGACAACTGACTGGGTGGTCGGCATCGACGGCACGTCCCTGGAGTCAGTTGGATCTGTTGCTGCGACTGTCCAGCAACATGATGATATAGTTCAGCTTCCGGAACTGTGCGTGGACTTCCTGGTAGTTTCAAAGCATGAGGGAGTGGATGCTGACCTGATTCTTGGCAATGACGTTGCCAGCGCGGCTGGTGGTCTTGAGATACGCTACCAGAATGGCTCGGCGAGTGCTATTCGGTTCGGAAAAGGGCCCGATGTAGCGGCTGCCGCAGCTGGCCATGCTGAACGAGCGCCGAAGCAGAAGCTCTCGAGGCACATCTCTGTTGAGCGAGATTCGGATGGTGTCACCCTCAGTTCAGCCGATTTCAAGGTGCGCTGGGACAATAGTGCAAAGTCGTGGACCGTCGCCTGGGTCTGGGGAGGTGGTGTAGAGCCGACTGATAGCATTGGCTCCGGAGTGACACAGTACTCACGGAAGAAGCTCTCTGCAGAGCAGGAGCAACAGTACCAGAAGGAGGTGCAGTCGTGGATCGACCATGGTTGGATGGTGCCCCATGATCCAGATCGACACGGCAAGTCAGGTGCGATCCTCCCTCTAATGGCTGTGTGTCAAGGACACAAGGCGTCTACGCCTGTACGTCCCTGCTTAGACTACCGTCGTTTGAATGAGGCGATTCTTTCCCATCCTGGAGGCGACGCGCCTGCATGCGACCAGAAGATCAGGGAGTGGAGACGCCGTGGCGGTGACCAGGTAGTCGTCGATATCAAGAAGGCGTTTTTACAAGTTCACGTCGACCCCAGCCTCGTTCGGTATCAGACCGTGGTATTCAATGGAGTCACGTATGTCATGGAACGAATGGCATTTGGTCTCAGCATAGCTCCGAAAGTCATGGACGCCATCGTGAAGTTTGCGCTGTGCGACTTTCCTGATGCAGACAACTATGTCGACGATGTCGTTGCTCCGTCCGAACAACTTCCGGAGGTGACTGCGGCGCTGAGTCGGTACGGATTACCGACGAAGCCACCAGAGGTACTTGCCGGCGCAAGGGTGCTTGGCATGCAACTATCGGTTGCTACGTCGAGTGAAGACGTGATGTGGCGTCGCCGTGATGGCATGGATCTGACGTTGCCAGAGCAGCCGACGAAGCGAGAAGTGTTCTCCTGGTGCGGTCGATTGACGAGTCATTACCCTGTTGCATCGTGGCTGCGACCGTGCTGTAGCTACATCAAGCGAGTGAGCTGTGAAGATGCTGCGGTTTGGGATAAGCCTGTCTCAGCTGCGCTCGAGAAGTTGTGTCGTGCGGTGGAGGATCAAGTTTCACGAGAGGATCCCGTCAACGGCAAGTGGACAGTCAAGTCGACTGGTGGCGTGTCCCTATGGTGCGATGCATCCAACCTGGCGCTAGGTGTTGTCATCAGCGAAGATGGCTCCGTGATTGAGGATCACTGTTGGCTCAGGCCTAAGTCAGACAAGCGGCACATCAACGTTGCCGAGTTAGACGCCGTCCTTCGTGGCTTGTCTGCTGTCGTGGATCACAGAGTGGCCAACGTTCGAGTCATGACCGATTCGAAGACGGTGCATGGATGGCTAAAGTCTCTCTTGGGCAACATCCAGCGAGTGAAGGTGAATGGCCTCTACAGAGCTCTTGTAGAGCGTAGATTGCAGCTGATTGACGACTTGGTCGAGGTTTACAAGTTGAAGATATCTGTCGAGTGGGTGCCTTCACAGAAAAACCTGGCTGACCGTCTGACCCGTGTGCCGACATCCTGGCTCGAGATGCCCGAGTCACCGGTGGTTGCGGCGGCGACCCAGAGCAGTGCGTGTGCAGGTGTCCACAGTTCTGCCCCACTTGCCTTCGACATCATCCGGGACCAGCAGGGAGCAGATACTGCCATCCAGCAGACGGTGGAGGATGTCAACGGTATGCAGACAGTTAGGGCGAAGCAGTTTCAGAAGGTGGCACCACAGCTGAGAGTGCGGGATGGCGTGCTGTATCGGTCAATCAAGTTGCCGCCTGCCAATGAAGCATGCGAGGTGCCCGTGATTCCGAGCTTGCTAGAGCAAGATGCCCTCCGAATCGCCCATGAGAACACTGGCCACGGATCATGGGAGGTGGTCCATGAGATGATGCGTCAGCAGTGCTACCTTCCTGGGATGGCAAGGAAGTGCCAGGAGTTCGTCGGTCTTTGCGACAGTTGTGCCGCTGCAAACCCTGCTGCTGGTGGTCATGCTTCGCCGACACGTCCCGAAGTGCCGGCGCGCCCATGGCAAGTTGTGGCGATTGATACCTTGGAGCTAGGACCGAGCCGAGCTGGGTTCCATTGCGTCTTGGTGTGTACGGATATGTTCACGCGCTATGTGGAGGTGATACCTTTGAAGCACCATGACGCTAAGTCAGTTGCCGAGGCGTTTGTGTCTGTGTGCTGCCGATGGGGTCCGCCGGAGGTGGTCAGATCAGACAACGGAACAGAGTTCGTCAATGCTGTCATGGACGCCTTGTACTTGGCGTTTGGAGTGGAAGTCAAGCACGGTGCAGTGCGACACCCTCAGTCACAAGGAAGCGTGGAGAGATTCAACCGGACCCTGTTGACTCTGATTCGCAAAGTACACTCGCAGTCCAACGACTGGAAGACCGACCTGTCAATGCTGCTGTACTTCTATCGCGTCCGACCGCATGGAGCAACGGGAGTTTCGCCTCAGCTAGCGATGACTGGTTGGCAGCCCCGTGGTCTTGTTGTAGAGGCCCAACAGCCCCTGTACACCTTGCCAGCATGGACGGCTGAGCTGCAGCGTCAAGCAGCTGCCATTCGTGATTTGATCGATGAAGAAATGGCGTCAGCTGATTCCCAAGAAGACGCCGACAAAGCAAGTTGCTGTTACGGGCCTGGTGACGTGGTGATGATGAAGATGACCAGCCGCGCGCAGAAACGCCTCCCGAAGTTTCAGCTTGGCTGGAGAGTCAAGAAGGTGTTGTCGGAGTCGACTGTAGTCGTTCAGAAAGTGGAAGACCCCAGGGTGGAGAAGATCGTCAACGTAGAGCTGCTGAAGCGTGCCGCAGCCAATCCTACTGTAGACCTGCCTGAGCCGCCTCAGCCAGATGATGCGAGCGAGGATGACGGTGGTTACCCGATGCGGCTAGAGCCCGGTGAGCTAGTCGCAGGTGTGCCTAGAGCTGAAGAGCCAAGATATGTGCTCCGGAACAGAGCTGGTATCAGGGCTCCAGTGAGATACGACTGAGAACTAGTAGCTGGTGATGGTTCGCAGAACTTTCATGTCCTTTCGTTTCTCTTTGCTTCTTTCGATGTGCTTGCCTATTATTGTCTTTTTAAGGTGATGTTACCAGGGAGGGAGATGTTGTAGTTTATGGTAACGTGGCAGCCACTGGCTGGAACTGTATTGTTACTTGTGCATGCTCTGCTTGGTATACCTTCTGCGTGATGCCATTTTCCGTGTATTGATTGTAGGTTAGTGAGTGCGCGTCTGCGCGGTGGTGCATGCTTTTCCATTCACTGATTGACCTGTCAGCGGTCAATCTTCTAGTTGCGGTTTCGGCGTGGTCTGCGCTGCCCTTATTCCGAGTTTGTAGCTTTTGTGTGCATCCTGACTTATGTATGGAGTGTGCTTGCGTGCACGCTTGCTACGCGTTACTTTTGGCAAGCTGGCCATGGTTCTTTTTCTGGCGTAGCTTCCGTTTGATCTTGGCGTGGAGTTAGTTCCAACTTGTGGTGATAACAGACGTTTCTCATTTTCCATCTAGAAGAATAACTAATTTCCTTGGAAGCTCTGTGGTGTTGTGAGTGAACTGGCCGTAAGCCGGCGTGGAGTGCATGTTCTCCAACAACGCATTCACGGGGCTTTGTTGAAGTTCGTGCCGTGAACTGCCAAAGGGAACTGTTTGAATGGTGCTGGGGCGAGTGCGACATTACGGCGTCCCTGCAGCCGGCCTAATCGCGTTTGTCGCCACAACCGATTTTGTGCCTTCAGGGGCCGGAATGTTTTATATTCTTTATTGTACATGGATCATTAGGAGATGCACTTGTCTGTACTTCTTAGCCTAGGCAGTGTATCCAAGGTCACATGACAAATCACTGGTTAAGTACTATGCAGGCTCCTTCAAAATAGTACTTTATACATGTTTCCCATAGCGTATTGCATCCATAGATATGAAGCTGTCTCACTGTGCATAATATTATTTTTGTATGCGGCTTGTGTACATCGTCTCGAGAATTTTACTGCAACATTGGTATTGCCTATCACCATCATACATGTGTTTGTTTGTGTGTGTGTGTGTGCGTGTGTGCGTGCGTGCGTGTATGTGTGTGTGTGTGTGTGTGTGTGTGTGTGTGTGTGTGTGTGTGTGTGTGTGTATGTGTGTGTGTGTGTGTGTGTGTGTGTGTGTGTGGGTGTGTGTGTCCTGTTCTCAGAGATCAAAACAAATTCAAGGAAGCCAGCAACCTATTGCAGGATGCACTTCGTATTCGCGAGAAAGCTCTTGGGGATGAGCATCCAGCAGTAAGCAACCAACCTCTATAGTAATTGTCTGCATTTGTCACGGAAACGAATATGATAATTATCACACTGTGATTTGGCACTATTCCAGCATGTATGGCTAATTCACTGTCCTATAATGTCCCTGGTTTGCGTCCCAATGGTCACAACCAATGCTATCATATCCTTCCATTTTTATGAATTCTCGAAGTGGCAAACATACTACTGTGCATCCCAATTGGTAACAGGGAGTTATAGCATCTAGGGAGATAAACTGTGACAAGCCAATTGGAAAATGAAACAGTGTGGATGTTGGTCCAAGTGTTTCCTGTTACAGTTACCCGCTTCAATGGCTTCATTGAAACTTCATGTTGCATAGATCATAGATTGCAAAGCACTTCATTCTCCAGGGTCGAAACGCATATTGCTTAGGGTACAATGGTCTCCTGGTATCTCCCTATGTGCTACGTCTACGATCTGATTTGTTTGCGTGGCACTTGAGATGAATGGGGAGCATTGAAAAATAAACACCATGTCCTCATTGCAGAACTGCATGTAACATGATAAGCACGTCAGCTTCCTTGGACCCTCGCGTGAGTTTGTTGGAAGAAAGACTGTGCATCACGACCTTGAACATCTCTCTCTCTCTCTCTCTCTCTCTCTCTCTCTCTCTCTCTCTCTCTCTCTCTCTCTCTCTCTCTCTCTCTCTCACACACACACACACACACACTCTCTCTCACTCTCTCTCTCTCTCTCTCTCTCTCTCTCTCTCTCTCTCTCTCTCTCTCTCTCTTTCTCTTTCTCATCCTGACACAAGGCCTGAAGCCCCGGGCTAGTTAAGTCATCTGTGTATGTACATGTACATGTATGGAATGAGAAACTGAGAGTGTGATTGAATATTTCTGTCCTACAGGTTGCTGCCACTCTTAACAACTTAGCTGTACTATACGGAAAGAGATCAAAGTTTAGTGATGCTGAACCCTTGTGCAAACGTGCTCTGGCGATTCGTGAAAAGGTGAGCACCCTGAGTTTCGAGTGTCCCCCGAGAAAGAAATCAGATTTTTTCGGCACGCACCCTTTAGCGCTCTACAGGTGCTCTGGGCGGACCATCCTGGACGAAAAGTGGCACAACCATGGTCGTACAGGTCGCACCGTGTGTGATACCCCTGAGCTAGAGGGGTTTAATGCAGAACAGCCTGTATCGGAGGTGGTCCCTCGTTGCAGTGGGTTCCTAAAACCAGTTTCACTGTACTAGTATGATCCCTTTGGTGCGTCCATGGAGCTATAAAGCCGAGACCTCTGGCCGGCTGAGCTTAATGGGCCCCACCACCACACTCCATTATTCACCCCAGTGTCTGGAGATATGTGGATTTTGTAGAAAACAATACAGTGCCAGTCAGTCAGGTGTAGTTACATGAACGTCAAGGTGTAGTATAGCATGCAGCTATGCATGGCTTTGAAAATCTTGTCCTGTATCTTACCTTAGCCGGGTGAATGTGAATGTGTTTACTGAAAATAGCTGACTCTCATCTAGGTTATTTGTGTAGGAACCTTCCATTCTCTCATTACTCACTAGCCGCTATATCACTGCTACTCACAAACTGGCGCTACATGTATACTAGGGTAGTCCTCAATTCACCTAATATGGGAATGTGCATTTTATCTTTGCTGCAGGTTCTTGGTTCAAAGCATCCTGATGTAGCAAAGCAACTTAACAATTTAGCATTGATTTGTCAGAACCAGGGCAAGTTTGACGAGGTGAGTGAATGGATAAGCATGTTCCAAAGAATATCTATATTTCACAAACACTTGTTTACAAAGGGTGCCATGGAACTCCCATGCTCTTTAATATTATTAGCTAACATACATTCCGTCCACACACGGCACACACGATGCACACGCACACACACACACACACACACACACACACACACACACACACACACACACACACACACACACACACACACACACACACCACACACACACACCACACACACACACACACACACACACACACACACACACACACACACACACACACGCACACACGCACACATATGCATCCTCCTCTTTGATGGACGTTCCCTTGATATATTACACAGCGCGTGCATGTCAGAGAAAGAGGTGGCTAAGCAGCACTTCTGACGGTGTAGGTGAGACTTCCTGCGACAATGGCACGGAATGTGAGCTTGGTTTTTTCCGACGATGCGTTTGCATGTATCTATGTTCAACCCACGTTTGACTTACACCGTGGGTACTCCTGGATGCACATTGCACTCAAGTTGACTCAACATTAGGTGCAGGTCCGTGCTTATAATAATGAGTAGCCCCTTACACCAATTTTGGGGAAGCCACTTTGGTGACACATACATTGACATGTTCCAGTTTGGTTGACTCTGGCTTCTTCCGTTTTGCCAAGCACTTGCGACATTTCTTATCAGACGGGCGAACGGAATACTGGTCGAGCCATGCACACACAACATACACTCACGTACACACGTGTGCGCACATCCGCATGCACGCGCACATACATGCAGGAAGAGTCAAGGCAGATATCCTGTTCTGTGACATTGCTTTTTGTTTTGTTTTTTTACTTACGGGTTCACTCTTACCGGCATAAACGTGTATTGGATGTTGCTCTGCTGTATGGCTGTATGTACTTGTACTTGCAGGTTGAATCTTACTATGAACGTGCTTTGGATATCTACAAGACTACACTAGGACCTGGTGATGCAAATGTAGCCAAGACAATGAACAATCTGGTAAGTGCGGCTTCACAGCCTTTTTGCTATTCAATTGGGTGCTGCATGTTGCTGAGGATGACCAGATATTGTCGCAGCATTCACTTGCTGCTGCTGCTGCTGCTGCTGCTCCTTCTGTCATATGATCTGAGGCTGATGTGGCTACTGCTGATGTTGTTGGTGCTGCTGCAGCTGCTGCTAGTGTAGCTATGGCTAGTGCAGCTATGGCTAGTGCAGCTATGGCTAGTGTAGCTGTGGCTAGTGTAGCTGCTGCTAGTGTAGCTATGGCTAGTGTAGCTGCTGCTTCTAACGTAGCTGCTGCTGCTAACGTAGCTGCTAGCGTAGCTGCTGCTGCTAGCGTAGCTGCTGTGGCTAGTGTAGCTGCTGTGGCTAGTGCTGATGCTGCCTCTGGTGCCAATTGACGATGTGAGTGCTGCTATTTTTGTTGTCTGGAGCCACTTTGTTATCCCATTAGTGTCATGGACTTTGTTTAGTGGATTATGGATGACTCACTAGGTTTGTGGACTCATATAATTATGTGCAGATGTGTTACTTGGAGATTTATGGTTTGGGGTATTATCATCTTGGTGGATGATCATAATACCAAGGCTAGAGAGAGACCACTTGCTTTGTTGATTGTGTACGATTTTCTGTGTGCTGTTGTGCTCGTTTGTGTGTTACATGTATAATGAACACATTCCATGTATGTATTTATGCGATCATGTAGGCATCTTGCTATGTGAAGCAGGGCAAGTACAAAGCAGCAGAAAACCTCTATCGATCTGTAAGTTCTGTGTCTGGGTTGTGCAGTCTGGTGCTTCGGTGCTATCAAGCCATTTACAAGAGCTCCCGTGCATCGCTTTAGAGGGTACTGGTAACGTTAGGAGACCAAACTTGTGCGTGATACATGTACACTAAAGTATAATGTGAGTTGACTCTTCTAAAAAGTCTGAATAACTGTCCCATGTTGACAAGGCTTGGAGTCACAACAGGGCAGGAAGTCAACCCAGATTTAACAGAAACGTTTTGATCATCAGTGACAGGAATCTGGTGACCATTAGTGATTGGGGATGTGCACTGTCTTCTGGTTTTCTCGGTTCAAGTGGGAAATGGCTAGCTGATCCGGTATTTATGGACAGACATGCCTTTATGAGAGATCCTACTGTTTGTGGGTGTGATCAAACTGTGCGTATCTATTTGTACTGTGACTATACATGCGTGCGTTTCTATGCGGTTAGGTTTTGGAGCAAGCACATACCAAGGAATTTGGGCCGGGGCTAACGGAGGTAGCTCGTAAGTATATCTTGAATTATCTTCACTATGGATATCACTCTTGCATAACATACTAAACACCGTATACACCCATGATCACAAAGGATTCTCGTCTCGGAGCTGCTCGAAATCATGCCGTAATCAGGCTGTAAGTTTGCTGTGCTGTACCTGGTTTCGCTGTTTATTTCTCAGCTTAGTAGTGATAGCAGTGATGGCAGAATGAACCAAATCAAGACACATAAATATGTGTACATGTAGGTGCATGCAATGGTGACATGAGTCTCTACATTGTACAAGTAGCTCTGCAGCAGGCCCTACACTTACACTTATACGCATCTATGTGTATGTTGTCCGATGATTGGCCCACTTGAATGTAATGAAAGTCAGACCTGCAACAGATCAGAGTCTCCTGCCATTGTAAACGCTTGTGTACTTGTACATGCACAGTCACACGGTATCAGACCTGAATGGTAGAACTTACCTGAATGGTAGAACTTACCTGAATGGTAGAACTTACCTGAATGGTAGAACTTACCTGAGTGGTAGTACAATGTACAGTGTGTTGCACCTGCATGCTAAAACACTGTGCTGTGGTAAGTCCTGTCGGCAACCCTGCAGCTTTGCATGCCGGTACGGAAAATGTGTAGAGGAAGAAGTTTTCCGAAGAAAATGGATCCTTGAAAGAGATCAGGAGCGTAATTAATACTTGGCAGAAAATACCTCATGTCGTCTATGACTGTCCCCACGAATGTCCCCAAATAATGATTATATCCTGCATGATTGTCCCCTGACTAGGACTTCCATTGTCACGTTTCCTCGCCCTGTGATCATGCACAGATAATTCAGCTGTATCAAGAGCAAAAGCATCTCGCTTGACTGGTCAAAATAACATAGAAATACAGGTAAGCTGCAGGAAAACGTGAACTGTTTGACTATGACTCTTCCTTGGAACATGCACTTTCACCCAGGAGTGCATGACCCAGTAGTGTTGGTCCATTGGAGGAAGTCAGTAAAGTCGATTAAGTGATGCTAGTTTCACATACTGGCCTATGGTAGGTCGAAGGATTCTTTAATTCTTAAATGGTATGTGCATGTGGTAAGGGAGACGGCCCACATGCTGGTGTATCAGGTGGGTTCTATTGATATCAAACACTTCTAAAACAAGGCAAAGGTGGCAATTTCTCTGGTTTGTAGATAGCCAGCACACAGCAGTACATCACGGTGATGCTTATCTGTGGACTTGCTAGTCAGTTAGTTGATGTGTGCATGCGTGCGACTGATCATGTTTTTTTGGTGTTGATGTTTTTGGCTTCTGCAGAGTCAGACGTCTTCTCTTGCATCAGCGTATGCAGAGTATGGTGGCTGGCACAGAGCTATGGGCAGCACAGATAGGTATGTGTAGCTTGTTGATGATAGGTCTCTGCCGGGCTCAACTGCGTCATTGGTTAAAAGGATATCAGAGCTGCCAGCCGTTTGTGTTCTTTCGTCTTTGTGTGGAGAAGTGGCCCTAGGTGCTCTGTATGTACTTGCCATTTTGGTGAAGTTTGCGGAAATCTTTGACACGTCCCAGGTAGTCTGGACTAAGCCCTTGCCAGTCTAGTCACGCCGTTCTGCATGTTAGAGTGGCTCTGTTGACGGATCACTGCCAGCGATGAGACAAATAATGGATTGTCTACTCACTGGAGCTTGGCATTGGTTACCGGTACAGCAACACCTGGTTTAAGCGACCACCGCACGGTGCAAGCAAAAGCGGTCGTTAAAGTCAGGTGGTCTTTAGAACCAGGTCCCATACATTCGTGGCATATGGGATAGTGTATGTACATATGCATGAGTGTACTTCCATGTACTCCGGCATATTGACAGGTGTGGAGCATAGAATACTTTCGTGCAGGCAAAGCACACCTCACTGGAGTGCATGCAGCGCATCCTGCACTGTCACTTGTCACTTCTGTTGACTACATGCCTTGCTTCAGAGCGCACTTCTACCCTGTTGCAGTCAAACGTGCCAGCCAAGATGGCACTTTTGGTCGCTGTATCCGGTGCAGTTTCTGTGTAGAACTGTCCGTGCATGGAAAAACGGTCGTTAACAGCAGGTGGTCGCTAAAGCCCGGCAGAGGTCGCTTACACCATGTTTTACTGTAGTTGGATCATAGCATACAGCACTATGTTCATATGGGTGACGCTCTAAGATATTACCACTTAGCATATAGCCTGTCCGTTTATGCTTTGGTCACTCTATCCTCTCTATCTGCAGCCCAACAGTGCAAACGACCCTGAAGAACCTTGGAGCATTGTATCGTAGGCAAGGAAAGATGGATGTTGCTGACACGTTTGACGATATATCCGTCAGGTCGCGCAAAAAGGTAAACACAAGCGGCTGTATCACTAACATGGCTTCCATGGTAGCTGGGGAATCTGGTACAGAGTTTGCTGATCATGACTGTATGGTGCCTTGTGTACATGTATGTCACATTCCGTATTTGCTGTCTCAGCAATGTGGACTGGATTTTCACATTCAGAGGACATTTTAATCCCTTTTGCCAGTGGAATTTACTTTTTGCCATCAATTTGCCCGGAGGAAGGAAGTCCTCACAAGAACTGCTATATCCGTTTTTGCTGCTCCACCTTCTCTATTGTTTACTTCAGGCATTGGAAGTAGTAAAGAAATCTAAGGTCGTTGAAGTTCTGGGTAGCGAAGCAGTGACTGGCAATGGCGTGGGTGCAGCAGATGCTGAAAGTGCTCATCGTGCACGGTCCAACTCTTCTACTCCCGTTGACCATGCTGCAGATACTGAGGTAAGTAGCACACGGGGACGATATTATTGCACAATAATCTGTGAACTGGGTGTGAAGTCTTTAAAAATTCACAAAGTAGCCCGCATACCTTGGTGCATCCGATGATGCGCTCACTGATATGAATGTGACTTGGAATCCCTCTTTCCTATAGAACTGTCCCACATCTATTACATGACCTAGTACAGGACAGACATGTCGCTTCCAGCTCCACTCAGCCTCTGCATCTATACTAGGTAATAATTACGATAAGACATATGATGTCAGCCATGGTGGTTCCACTGTCCAACATACCATGATCACTTTCTACACAACCTTAGTCGCATGGCAAAGATGTGAAACCACTCTACAGTGTGCACAAAAGTCGTATTGTCACGGGTAAAATCAGTATCAATATCACTGGATGTCTGTGAATGCTTGGAATCCACAGAGTATCGGCAAAAGCAGTTTGAAGCGCCGTGGATCATTCTCGAAATTGAAAGGCAGTGTTGGCAAGGCGATCAGTAAAGTCGTCGGCGATGGAAAGTAAGTTCTCTGGATTCCATGACACAACGTTCCGTTCCTGGTCAGTGTTCTTACGTCAGGTCTGCTGATTCATGGTATCACTAGATATCTGGGAATATGTCTGCTGATTCATGGTATTACTAGATTTCTGGGAATATGTCTGCTGATCCATGGCATCACTAGATATCTCGGAATATGTCTGCTGATTCATGGCATCACTAGATATCTGGGAATATGTCTGCTGATTCATGGCATGGCATTTCAGGCTCAGATTGAATGTACATGTATTGCAATGTTTTCTTTCTGTGAAGTGGGGCACCATCGTGTACATGTCAGTGTGTGCACGTTGGAAGAACATGTGTGAAAATAATTACAATGTGTTTTTTATAAGCGGGGACGTTCGTCACGTTTTACAACAGCATGATCCAGTCCACGGAACGTGATTGGGCAAACACAGCACATGGGCATACTATTGACAACTATTTGCACCATGATACGCCAAATTCTCTCCTGAAACATGGTGGGTTGACTTGGACATTTTTCTGACTGGCTGGACTGACTGCTATCAGTTAAACCACTTTTTAATGTGCTTGTACTCGTATTATGAACTACAAAAAGGAGAGAGAGAGAGAGAGAGAGAGAGAGAGAGAGAGAGAGAGAGAGAGAGAGAGAGAGAGAGATCCAGATCCAATTAGAATGTGTTGTGGCAATGCACATGATAACGCTCTGAACACGTCAGTTTGAGCACTTTCCTTGCAGTTGCTGCAACTTTCTGTGAAGTATGCATTATGGGTCTGTGTGTGAATATCACTGATCAGGGCCGTAGAACCCGGTCTAACCAGTTGGGCCATGGCTTGACCTTATTTCGAAACACATTTACCCACCCGTGCAAAACGGGTTCAAGTTTACATTGTTCATTTCCAGTCAAGTATCCCGTTTGGCCAAGCCACCTGCAATCCTGATGCTCCAACCTGCTGATCAGCATGTACATGTACGTTCTGTTCATCAAGGAGATTGTTATTTTCTCTCTGCCTGCTGCCTATCTCATGTGTCATCTAGGGAGAAAAGACGACGTTCGTCTTCTCTACCAAGGTCTCCCTCATCAGCTAGTTCAGAAGAGCTGTTGCATAGGAATCCTGCACAAACACCCGACCAAACCGCTTCTCCTATCCTAGCTGATTCCAATTCACTGATGGTTAGTTCATACTGCATGCTGCTGTGCACGTGTGTGTGCATGGTGTGTATGAATATGCGTGCGCACGCGACTGTAACGGGCAACCCTGGGTCGCAACCCGCATCATTTGCCGGTATTACAGTCACCCATGCGGTCTTCCTAGATGCTACGACTCCTTTCGACTGTACAGCAAGAGTAGGTCTTATTTCTGTGGCAGGCATTGAAGTGTGGGCACTGGCTGTTGATAACGAGAGGTTTTGATCCGCCGTGCTTATAAGAACAACAGAACATGTAGCTCTGTGGTTCATGTAGCTTTGTGTTTTGCAAAATTCCCATGCTCAGAGTGGTGCACCTAGTCATGAATCACGACGACGTGGACGAGGGCCGCTGAAGACACCACACTCTCGAGTGAAATGAACCAGCACCAAATCAACTGATTTTATTCGTTCATGGACACACATTGACTTGTTACAAATTTGGACTTTATCATCGGCTTTGTCAAAAAAAAGAGGAAGTCAGTCTAGCATGAATAACGGAGATGGATTTCTGCAAATGAACCAGTGTTGCTTAGATTTGACCAGTTGAGCATTCAACGTGTTGCCCGATTCTGCTTTTAACAACATACACCCTCTGCTGTTGTGATTTTGAAACATTCTTTTGTGCATTGATTTTTATTGGGTGACCGTATTAGCACATGAACAGAGGGTGCCTGATTTTATATTTAAGAAAATTCTCTCTGTACATATAATACACGTAGCATTCAATTTCATCGTCACGTTTCTGTCACTGACGTTTTGCTGCAAGCAAGTTATGAAAAATGTGATTTCGTTTTCACTTTCGAATTTATAAGAAATTGATTTCTAACGGAGCTACTCAGTGTGTTTGTATTTACTGTCTTTTGATGAAGTTTTTTATTGGCTTTGCCGTAATTTATCCAATCTCAGCATTCCTACTGTAATGGTTGTTTCCTATCTTCTTATCTATTTCAACACTGACTACAGCCACTTTCTACCCTTGACTGATATTATTCATGTTATCATAAATGCCAGCAAGTTGAAAAATGTTTTCCACAGATATGTCCAAGCATATGCTTTAGATTAGTTCCCTGTGTTTGTGTCTATCTGGCACGGTATTTGCCACTGTCTTTACAGGCTACATAATACATTCTGATGACAGGGAGTCAGTACTATACAAGGTTTTACTGTAGGCGTATTTTATTTGTGTGGACACTGGTACAATGGTCTGCCATGATCCTCAATTACCTGGACTGAGGCACACAGGGTATGCTATTTTAATATAAATAAAAAAAATTAGTATTTACCCAAGTGCTAGTCTTTCCGGAGTTCTAAGTTTCCCTATAGTAGGTATATAATAATTATATTCAATGAAGAGCTTGTAAAGAAGTGTAAATGCCCTGGTATGGATCGTGGAAGGCCCCATCTGGAAAGTGAAATGCCTGATCACAATGCTGTTCCTAGCATTGAGATGAATGTCACACTACTACAGTAGATCTACTATACTGTCAGTAGTGCTACTTTTCCGACAGCCACGCGAAGAGTCACTGTACATCGTACATACACACACATACTCGCTCGTAAAACCCCACCTTCTCAGTTATGTCTTGTTGATCACCATGATCACTACTCTAGCTCTAGTCTTTGAGGCAAAGCTCAGCACCAGGCAATGTTCCATGTCGAGAGTGCTTGTGATACTGTACGTAGGCATCTTTGTCGCTTATGTCAGTTATGACCGCTCCATCGTCCAACAGCACGCTGCACAGGACTCCTAGTTACTCACCGTTGACGGGTTGGCCTTCTTTTCAACACTTGTCGCTTGACTCAACTCGTTGAAGTCCTTGGGGGCCCAGGTCGGGCTTTGCTCGAGCAGTAGATCAGCAACGTCAAAATGCGAGCTGCTCGGGTCACGCAGTCCCCACTTTACTGCTTCCTTGCAGCTTGCATGAGCGTGCTGTCTCAGCTGAGTGTCTGAGTGACTCAATACTCTGCATTGGACAAAGCATGTCTGCTACGAGGTGGCTGACCTAAGAAACGTTGGTGCATGCAATGATGCAGTACTACACTGATGACTATACTACTAGTATCTTTGGACAAAGTTTGGTGTTCTTCCTTCTTTCGATGTCGCATTGATTGAATAAACCCGTTTTGACTAGTAGTAGTATAAAGAGTAATGTTTGGGCACAAAACAACGACTTTCTGTAAGCGTGACGGAGTAAAATATTCGTCGTTGCTTCAGTACTGCAGTCGTTACTACATTGTAGCTCGACTACTGGTACGTAGATGTACACCATGGTACCAAACCACTCAGAAACTGACAGGGCTGACTAGTGGTCGACTGTTTTCCTGATTTTTTGCACTTCGGCATCGATAGAGCAGGTGACTTTACTACTGCTACTGCTGCTGCGTCTGTACTACTACTACTAATACTAGTGCCTGCATGGCAGGCAGTGCTAGCGTCCTGAACGAAAGGAAAAATATATCGGTCACGTCCTGTTTTGTATCCGTATACACGCGTAGTCTACCGAAGATCGGGCAGATACCACTGACTGTACCAGTGCTCGACTTGATGATGATAGCGGAAGCAAATCTTGACGAGTTCGGCACTTCGGCGTGACAATCGCCGTCGACCAAACCTGTGCTATGTCTATGATCAGCTGCTTGTGAAAGTCATGATAAACTAGCCTCCAGCAAACCGTGTACCGGTGATACACGGGGTACGGACCGATCGACCACGTTTGCAAGCTGGTTGTCCTAGCTACCGGTTTTCGCTAACGCACCGGGACCATTATCATCGAGCTGTTGTTTGTTGTTGCCGTTGTTCTACAAAAAAAATTCTTGCAATTTCCTTCCTTTGCTCAGTGAATGTGGCCGTGGTGGTGGTTGGTGTTCCACGACCCGATACAGCCTGTGTTGTCCGACCACTAAACTATGGATAGGGTTGTCGGTCCGGAAATGGCTGCTGGAGCTAGTGAAGTCTGAGGTTGCCGAATGTTTTTTAAAAGTCTGTCAGAACTGCACGCAGCGTGGCCTAACTCGCTGTTTGTTAGATTCCCGGAGCGGTTTCGGACTCTGAAGTCGGTGAGCGTAAATTCCCCAGTATCGTAGGAGCTGGAGCGTGATCAGTGATGGCAGAAAGCAAGACGACACTGGGCACGTTGCAAGGCGTGCAGCTACAGGACAATCAGACATCTGCAGCCAGTGTAGGTGCTCCACCACTAGCGGACAGTGTTCTACGAATGACTGCAAGTGGTGGTGACTCCAGACTGATAGGCAGTCTGAGTCCACGTGAGAAAAAATCCCCGTCTAGGTTGCTTGATGCAGATGGAAAAGTATCTACCACTGGTGCTGCTGCTGCTGCTGCTGATCCCCAAATACAGACTGTTGCAATAGCAGGAGTAGTGGAACGTCTTGGTACAATATCAGCGGAAATTAACGAGCTCTATCAACGATTAGCAATGACGTCCGCCGAGACCACCAGATCTGAGAAGACTGTGGATGGCTTGGACTCGAGGATACCTGAAGCACCATCCAACACAACAAATGTGCGGGATCTCTATGAGCAAGCAAAGCAACCGCGGCGCGGTTCCGGCGACCACCAGCGATCGAGATTTGGCAAGTCTGAAACTTTGCGACAGTACTCTCTTGTGTCTCCCCAGAGGTCAGTCGACGGCGTTTTCCGCAGTGAGGATATGGAAGGCATTGTCGAAGACCCAATGCGGCCCGCAGTCTTGCAAAGGCTTTCTTCTCATACCATGATGAACATGCGCAAATACCTCCAGCGGCCTGGAGTTGCAAAGGTATGTGCATTGCCATCATAAGCAGGTGTATCCATAGTGATGGTGGGTTTTAACCCTGACGTGACCCCATCGATTGATTTTGATTGATTGTTAATTTGCTATAGACTGGCACTAAAAGGTTTCTTCGCCGATTTTCATAAACGGGGGGGGGGGGGGGGAGGAGGGAGGGAGGGAGGGTCTGTGTTTTTGAGAAGAACCTTGGCTATCACATGCAGGTTATCAGAAGTCTCTAGGAAGTGCACTCAAACGTCTTTTATCCGGACGCCTCAGATTTGGGCATGTCTCTCTACCGGGCACCTTCAGCTTGAGTTCCTATGGCAAAACTGCTTAGAATTTGGGGTTTTTGAACATTTTTTCGTATGCGCTAGTGCTTATTTGTCACTGCCAACCGGTGTAATCCGAGTCATCAGTGGATTTTTTATCCTGAACATGCGCAATACGTACCACAAAAACTTCTTCAAAAACTGACATGATACATGGCACTTTCGTGGACATGGAAATCCGGTCGCACGTCTAGCAGCCCCTGGGTGCGGCCATGCAGCCGTGAGTAAGCATATGCCGGTTGATCTACACACATTCATTTATGCGCTGCAGCGCGCTGGTCGCATCGGATCAACTTGAGCACTGCATGCAACGTTCTGTACGCCGGCCCCGGTCATTCGACTGGATTTCCATGTCCACGACAGTAGATGAGCTGTCCTAAGATACCGGCAAATCTGAGATACGGGCAGTGCCCGGTCCCAAGGCACGCGGATAAGAGACGTTCGAGTGTACGACACCACCGTGGTGAGCATCAAAGTCGATCAGAGGGAAACTGAAAAAATGCGCTCCAATTGAAAAAATTGAATTTTTCATGATGCACTCGGCGAGGTATTTCCCTGGAATCCCACACCCTACTCCAGCATGCTGTACAGTAATTTGGTGGGCTTGAAACAAGCTTGGTTTTTGTTTGTTTGAATTCGATGTAATGAAGCAGAATGGAATGCCGGTTACTTGAGCTTCGAAGCAGGTCGGGCACAGCTGCTGTTTTGAGCGGCAATCTAGGCCACGCAGAGCAGAGGACATGCAGGTAGCTGGCTTTAGTAGGATATCAGCCGCTTCGTCTTGGAAATACCTTGTATTTTCTGGCAAGACGTTTGCTCCCCCCCCCCCCCCTCTCCTCTCTCTCTCTCTCTCTGTTGTTCCATGCATCTTGCTGATATCAAGGCCACTGACAATTTACAGTGGCACCGGGTGCCGAAGAACCCGGGAATTAGTATACGAGTAGCCTGGGATTATTCCTATTTTGGAACTTGGAGAAGCAAATGCTTTGAGTATGGATACATTGAGTGAAGTTTTACAAGAAAACATCCTGGTGTTCCAAGATGTTAGTTTCCAGCCTGTGCATTCTCTTGCAGCGTCTTCTTTGGTACCCACGATTACTATACTGATGGTAGAGTTGGCGATCACAGCATTACATGTAGTGTGGACAGCTGCAAGAAAGTTGCGCGTCTTTCATGTTGGGCAGAAAGTCTTTGGAAGAGTATGGTATTCCAACTGTGTCACTGTGTGCAAGTTGTAGATTAACATGTGTTCTGTGGAATGTGTGCACTGCTTTAATATGTGGTTGATTTAGTCCTCACTGTAGCCAAGTCCACCTCATTTGTGACAGATTCATGACTGAGTGTGTGTGTGTGTGTATGTGTGTGTGTGTGTGTGTGTGTGTGTGTGTGTGTGCGCGTGTGTGTGTGTCTTCTTCCTCTCTGTATTTGATATAGTGGTCCGTTATCGCCTCACTGCCATCTTCTATAACATTCTGCCACCCAGGAACTCACTGCTACAATAACGCCTTGCTCGTGTCTGGCCGAGGTGTTCGCAAGACAGGTGCTCCAGAAGTAGCACTGCTCTGGGCGGTTTCTTTTTCCGAGTACACTACCTTGAACTGGGAAGAAGTCGGCTTGCCACCTATTCGTGCCACAGACTGTCCGACTACATTTGTGCACAAAGGCGTACTGCATGCCGTCTTGCTGGCTGGTGATGGTAAAGATGAGGAGGCATCAGCTCAACAAGTACTAAGTATATGGAGACGGCACCTTGTCATACGACACAATGCGTCATCGTCCATGGATTCATCAATGACTGCGGAAACTGGCAGACCACTGAGCCGCGGACGCACGTTGCAGAACACCAAGAAACAAGGCTCGTCACCGTCCACTGACAAGCCACGGTACGAGTGGACGAAAGTCTGCGAGCGCAAGTGGAATGTTTACCACTTCTCTACAGTCTGGTGGCAGAGCAAACTGATCTTCGCTGGTGGCCGCAATGGTGCTGGGCGCAGCTCTGCAGTGCGTGTGTATGATCTGGACAAGGATGAATGGCAAGAGTGGCCATCATTACCGGAAGGCATCAGCGGTGCTGTGGCTGTGGTGTGCAAAGACCAGCTATTGCTTGTCGGTGGCCATACTGGCAAGGGACTGGGTCTGGCGCGTAGACAACTCCTAGCATTAGACCTTGAGTCCACGCAGTCACGTATGTGGTATTCGGCAAGTTATGCACCATTAGAACAAGGTGGCTGTGGTGCGATTGTGCTGGAAAAAGAAGTCTTACTTGTGGCTGGATGCAAGGATGCTGCTCACAAAGCCGGAGATGATGTGTTAATGCTGAGCGACGATGGGCGCCTGTGGTGTGCCTTACCGCCTTTGACCCGCCGTCGAAGTTCACCAGTTCTTGCTTTCATTGGGCACCATCTGCTGTGTTTTTGTGGTGAAAGTGGCCCATCACTACGCACTTCGGTGGAATCGTTCGACCTGTCCTATTTTGATGAACCCGTGGGTATTCAGCCTCTCATGTAATGTTGCTGCACGTATCCGGCTTGATTTCATGACAACACTGCTATGCTGATGTATACCGCCTACGGTCCTCGGACAGTACAGTGACCACCGTTGGAATTTTGACACAACCTGCCTGCTGAGCAAACCGTCACAGCTGCCTGCAAGGTCTGAATGCGTCTAGCTATAATAGTAGTGTGCTGTGGGCGGTATAGGGCTGCTTTGAGAGACTGTGCCGTCTACTGCAGCAAAGTCAACGTAGTAGCTAGTGTCAGAGCTGGCACTGCCTCGACTCTGCATCTTATCTGTACCCAACCTCATGATAGCCGTGATAAGCTGGTACGATCAATCGCACATGCGGTTACGAATGCTGTGGTAAGGTCCCATAGCGGTAGCGATACTGGCAACTGCTGTGTAGACTGATTTGTGGCCGGAATTTCTGAACTAGAAAATCGATTCTGGAAACAAACACGTTCCAGCATCTCAGTAACAAATTGTCATGTTGCGTGGTGATATCATGGCTGTGGCATTCAAACTTTTCATACATGTAGCTCCTATTAAAAAAATTGTCTCCACATACATGTAGATTATTTGTAAATGATACTGCGGAACTGCTCATCATATTAGTTCGGTGAGGGATTCCCAGTTGATATTGACCTTTCTACACTTCTATTACTATTTCATTGTCTGGTCCAATTCTACGGAATCCAATCTCAACAAGACTTAGTGTTTCATGATTTTCATTCAACTCGTGCTGCCAAGTTGCTCATAGTCTTGACGTATTCATAATTTCATAGCTTACTGATCATGTGTTTTCGGAGTTCTGTTTCAGGACTTGCCGTGACTTCATGTGTCCTCAACATTGATTAGTCTCACTCAATGCTCAGTTATCTCTCTTTTCTTTCGTCCTCCAGTCTTGTTCCTGGCTAGTGGCTAGGCTATGCTGTAGAACAGCTAATTTAGTGGGTAATTTTTTAACTTTTTCTGAATCTGGACCAATTTGCGGTTTAATATTTTAGCGATCCGAGTTTCAGAGTATAAAAAAAGGATGACCGAAGTACAATTGTGCTGAGTACTGTGCTGTACATGCAAATTTCGATTGGCGTGGCAAAACTTTAGCGAAAACCGTCTCCTTTCGCTAAAATCGCTATAATATCACTGGCGTTAAAATTAGCTGTTTTGCAGCACTTTGTACGTTCCGCGTCGGACTCTGAAGCTGCTGGTTTCAGGTAAAACGGCTGTCCACAGTCAATGTAGAGTTTGCGCCGATTGAGTCATGCTCAAGTTTTCAGTTTCTCCCCCCCCCCCCCCCCCCCCAGCCTCTGGCTAGATAAGACTGGGCCGCCGGGCCTGGCCTGGCAGCGGGGCCGGGAGTCTCCCTCCGGACCCTGGCCTGCACTGCTGGCTGCAGGCCTGGAACGTAGCTGGTCACGTCACGAATCGATCAATCAGCAGCCCTGTATAGGGCTTGAAATTGTTACGTCACAGCATAGCAACAATTTCAAAAATTCAAAAACTGGATCCACTTGGATCCAGTTTTTGTATGGATCCAAGCACATTTCAAGCCGTCTTACTCACAGCAAGGTGATGTAGTCAGTGAAACTGACCGATTTGGCTACTGGGGGCGGGGTTACAACTGGTGGCGAAGTAAAAGTCACCCCTGCATACGACATGAGTGGGTTGCTATGCACCCACATACTGAGGCAATAGCAAAGTCACACCTTAGTGGATCCAAAATAGAAATCTGATGTCAACTTACTACTCCCTGGCCGTTTTGACGTCATCACTTTCAAGTAACAGCCATGTCATCATCAGTATTCATCACCATGGAAAATATGGTCGGAACTTGAAGGAAGCGAAGGGAAAGACTTGAAAAACTTTTTGCTGGTAGATCTACAACTACATACAAGTACAAGGAGCAGCGCAGCTGAGCTGAGCCTGAGCTGATATGATCTACTCCTTGAAAGTCATCGTCCGTCAAGGCTTTTACTGTCAGGGTGAGTCTGTGACTGAGCTGAGCACATAACAATAGTCATTACAAAAACTCAAACTACACACTGTGACAGTAGTCTACATAATATGAGCTGATTGATTCAATGACTTATGTAGATCTACAGAGCAGTCACCAGTCACATCAAGAGTTTTTTTTTTTGCCACTACTGCCAAGCCTCTTATACGGGCAAAATAAACACAATAATTACGAGTGCAAGTCACATCAAGAGTACAAGTCATGTACTCTTGGTCACATGCATCTGCAGATAAGAGCTCTACTTGTACGAGCTACGTACAGCGTAGACTCTACTCAGCTACTAAGTACCGGTCCGCGGTACATGTACATCGACAATGTACCACACGCTGGGTCATGCACATGTCATGATCATGAACCATGTGAACTGACTCTGATCTATCTGATGATGAAGAACAGTACACATTAATTTTTAGTAAATTTTACTGTTTTTTTTTACTGTTGCTGAATGGCTGCTTGATAAACTCTGGAGTCTGCTTTTGTCGAGTGGCAGTCTTCTTTCCAGACCGTTTCGTTGGGTTAATCTGTAGAGCTTGTTGCACTGAAGCTGATACAGACATGGATGAAGAAGAAGATAGAAGCTTTGTCTCACGAGCAGGGTAAGCATCATCAGACTTCCGACTTTCCAAACTAACTTCGTTGTAATTTGGACTCGAGGTACATGTACAACATGGTTATTATTATAGGTATAATAGGCCTTAGAATGTCTCAGTACTCCTTGTCAGTTTTGGGCTAGATTGTGTACGTCTGACTGTTCAAAATCTGATTTAGTTGGTGGACTCGATCGCATAACTGTGCCCACATTTTTCCATGTTACAATTTTAGGTTGGAATACCGTATTATCTCTAATAATAAGCACGGTCCTTTATTTTTTCAATGTACCTCAGCCCCGTGCTATTAATGGAGACGTTCCTTTATTGGAGACTGTTCCATTATTATTTCAACCTCATTTCAGAGGCATGTTGCCATGCCAAATTCATGTCAGACACACACATTTCAGGGTTTTTTTCGCCGGTACCAAGAGTACATGAAAACCAGAGTGTGCAGCTCGGATGGGTTGCTGTCACGGCGGAATTCCGTGATTACATCATTTTAGTGATGTAGTGCGTACAAGCAGGATTCAAGCGGGTCTCTTTCTGCACAACTGCAGCTCGGTTGTACGCACTACGCCATTTCCCGCCTCAGATCTGCGCCAAATATGATGTAATCACGGAATTCCGCCGTGACAGACACCCATAGCAGAAAGGCCCCAAGCTGCACACTCTGGTTTTCATGTACTCTTGCCGGTGCAGATAATGAATTTACACAGTGTGCTTATAATGGAGACTGAGCACTTTATTTTTTGAATGCCGCCCCAAGGTGTTCTATTATTGGAGGCTGTGCTTATATTAGAGACTGTGCTTATATTAGAGACTGTGCTTATATTAGAGATAATACGGTGATTACTTTCCAGTGTGATACAACTGGTAATGAACTCGGATGGAGAGCGAAGAAAAACAATTAGCTACATCTCGGAGCTGAACGTCAGTTCGTTCAATGGCGGTACAATTCGTCGGTATTTTGCTAACAGTTGCACGTTTTGAGACCTGAATCTTCTTCTTCTTATATTATTATTATACGCATTCCCCGAGCAGTGTCAATCAAGCATTCATGCTTGATCCACACATTCCTTTATGCTGGGCAATGAAGCAAAACAGATGTAGAAATCTCCTTGAGAATGGGGCTCTACAAAACAGTAATACATGAAGTATGGAGCGTCTTAAAACCGGTGTCCTTTTGAAAACGCCATCATTATTAGACAGACTTTTCCCGTTTGCGGCTTTCCCTCAAACCAGTGAATACTTTATGACTTGGGGCTCCCCGCGTGCTAGTTTTTACGTGAAGTGTCACGTAGGGGTGAACCAATTATACCGAATATTCGAGTGCTCGCTTGTTTTTTTCGAAAATAATCGTACTCAGAATAATCAGAGTACTCGTTCATACATGCATGGTACATGCATTTACCATAGAAATCTGCAGTTTCAGAGCAGCAGTCAGTAGATATTGATATGCAAACTGTGTGGTGAACATTTGTACATGAGTAGAGAGAGCCCAAACGATCCACCAATCAATATACCTGAGAAAAAAGACTGCCACTTGGTTCAATCAGGATTGTGTCATGTGAATAAGGCCCTTGGTATGGAATTTTTAGGAGATAAAGAATACTCGAATATTCAAATAACCGACGAGGAGACAACAGTCGTAAAATAGCAATAAACTAGAGAGCTTGGAAGCTCAGGGCCCTACACTATACTTTTTTTGCCTAGCTCATCATGCATGTTATTCGAACTGATGGAAATGCTTTTTCCATTGATTGGCTTCATCATTGTATTGCAAAAAACGTTTCAATCAGGTTGAATATGAGTTAGGCGAAAGTAATTGCAGAATTTATTGGGGATTGTTATTTTCTCTCACTTCATCCACTTTTTAGCCCTCTCGCTTAGGATGAGCTTTCTTTTTTATGGTAGCTTAAGCGAATGCTATATACCTGCTTTATGCAGGTTGATGCCAACGCGAACAAGCAAAATAATAATCATCCACTTTTGGTTTGCTCCTTCTTTTCCTTTTTATCTCCTTATAATCGGATTTTCTGGCCTTTTTGTAGTAATACATTGACCTGTTGAGCCAATGAGGTAAATTTATATTCCATACAATAATATACAATACGATACAATACAATAATACAATAATGTCCTTGCCTTGATAGTGTGCTTGTACTTAACTGTTACTGACGGCCGAATGCATGGTTGCCTGTGGAGCACGTAACATAACTTTACAGTCTCCGATAATACGTATCCTGTCCGACGGCAAAAGAGGCTGCGGATTTAGTTTTTCTGCACGTTATCAGCAATGCCTACTGGTCTTCAGCAACTTGGGTCTCCTATAATACGCATCCTTTTGTAATGCTAACGTAATGCTCGGGATAGCACTCGCTACTGATCTTCAGAAACTTGGCCTGACTATCACTCACAATAAGACTGTTTAAATGTTCATCGTTCATGCTATACAACATCGTTATACCGTACAACACCGTACGGTGTTGCTGGTTTCTCCCACAATTTCCACACCGTACGGTACGACAGGTACGGGATAGCGCCAGGCATGCCGATGGCACAAACAAACAATTGTATCGTATTGTATGGAACATAATTTTATCTCATTGGCTCAACAGGTCAATGTATTACTACAAAAAGGCCAGAAAATCCGCTTATAAGGAGATAAAAAGGAAAAGAAGGAGCAAACCGAAAGTGGATGAAGCGAGAGAAAATAACAATCCCCAATAAATTCTGTAATTACTTTTGCCTAACTCGTATTCAAACTGATTGAAACGTTTTTTTTTGCAATACAATGATGAAGCCAATCAATGGAAAAAAACATTTCCATCTGTTCTAATAAAATGCACGATGAGCTAGGCAAAAAAGCATAGCGTAGGGCCCTGAGCTTCCAAGCTCTCTCGTTAAAAATTTTAAATGAAAAATTCCAGAACGTTTTCTCGTGACTATCATCAGTGGAACATCGTCACATAGTAAGAATCACTAAAACAACCAGTTATATAGCTAGAATAATATGATAAGTAGCGTGAGAATGCAGCAAACGTTCTGGAATTTTTCATTTTAATAACAATATTATTGTATTATACATGGTTATGAGTGCACACTTAGTTTTATTCATTGCTATTTTACTCGAATATTCGATCGGAGAAAATTAGAGTACTCGAACTCGGGATCTCAATGCCAACTTTCACCCCTAGAAGTGTGTGGGTCACAGTGAGGGCTGCGTCCCACCCGCCTGTGTGGATTCACAGGAAGTGTGAGTTATGAAGTCTGAGGGAAATGTTGAACGGTCTCTAGGATGACAACTACACCATAGCTCAGTGGTTAGAGCATCGCTAGCCTCAAGCGAGGGTCCCTGGTTCGAGCCCTGGTGGTGACAGTCAATTTTTTCTTCAGACTTTTCCCGTTTTCGTCTTTCCCTCAAACCAGTGAATTATTAGAGAGGTTCTGCAAATCGAGAATGGGCAGGAAGGTTCGCGACGAGCTTTACGAAAATGTGTGCGAATTTTCGCACGAACTTTGTGGTCTGCACATTTTCGTAGTTTGCATGCGCCCAAGTGCACGTACGCGGTGAACCCGTTGACCTGATCTCATGAAACGAACCACGGAAGTTCATTTCACGTTCCCTGCGGGTTTCACGTCCAAAGTTACGAAGTTTCTCACTTCATGACGTAGAACGAAAGTTAGGACGCGTTTTCGTTTTTGCAGAACCTCTCTATTGTCTCCTCATATAACATCATGGCCAACGGGCGGCCAGGTATAATATTACGTGTGAGGTTGAGTTGCCTGATAATTATTAAAAGTTGTGCAGTATTGATTTGGGTATTCGAATAATAATAGTAATAATATTCGTTAGCTTGAGGGAAAGGTGTAAAAGGGAAAAGTCTGAAGAAAAAAATTGACTGTCACCACCAGGACTGGAACCAGGGACCCTCGCTTATGGCCAGCGATGCTCTACCACTAAACTATGGTGTAGTGGTCATCCAAGCAGCGATCGTTCAACATTTTCTTCCAACTTCGAAACTCACGCTTCCTGTGTCTGTGAATCCACACAGGTTGTTTTTTTAAATTTAACTAGGAATTGCACCTGGTTGCTATGACAATGTGTGCTGTGTCAGGTGGCTGTTCCTACTCGTGAAGAGTTTTGTACACGGACACACTTCACCAGTGCTTTCCGTGCTGGACGGTCCGCGGCAATCAGCTTTAGACGGTGTCGGCACTCCACAGCTGCCCATTGCACCACTGGGACAGATCGATATAGAGCTTTATCAGCAGTGTCACCCAGTATCTTCTTGGCTATACTATTCTTATGTGGACGAGTACCGATGACAGTAAACTAGTACTAGTGAGGGCCTCTGTGGATCTATTAATGGTAAGTTATACATAACCTTGTTTGATGTGTCCTTGCATATTGGCTGCACAGCATCGAAGATAGTGACCTGGATAGTGATGAAGCTGACATGATACTAGCTGGCATATATTTCGGAGACGATACTGAGGAAGCTTCGGAAGAAACTGGTACAGCGCTGACTCGTCAACTTCCCACTCCAGTAAGTCAGAGAATGGAGGATTTGAATATATTTTTACTCGGGTGGAGAGCCAAGGATTAATTTACAGTCACAACCTTGTTAGGACAAACTTCAAGGGACCGAACAAGTTTGTTTGTCGTATCGGGAGTTCTTCTTATCCAGATCTGACAAAAAAAATTGATATGCATATCATTAAGAAAGGGTTTGCTCCCCACACCGGAGCTCGCGCTATTCCGCCGACTTTACTTGACACTTGACTGACTCACGACTGCCATCCAGAGCACACGAGAAGTCCATCGAACCTTCGACTCGGCAAACCTGCAAGAAAGCACCACTCCCTGCTCAATACACAGTGTTTCGGGGAATTCACCCCTCATCAGTTGAGCTTGAGTAGGCTGAGGAAGATTGTGCCTGAAGAGCACCACTTATATAGTGCTCTCCAGGCACAAACATCACCAGGGATACAAACTTACAGAGACGCTCCATTTCCAGCGCGACAAACACCTCGTGAACACCAGGTAGCAGCGTGAGTCAGTGTCGCTCCTGGACGGTGAGACCATGCATATCATTATGGATTGTATTTATGTGAAGGTGCATGCTGTGGCAAATGTAAAGCATTTTTTCATAACATAACCCAGCAACAGGTTCTAGTAAGTACAATGTGTAAGGAATTCATGACAACATTGCATCCGCCTTGTAACATGTTTTTCCACTACAAGAGGCCTCGACTCTAGTATCGGGAAAACCTACAGCCAGCGTACCCACGGGGACCAACAGTTCGTACTATACGCTGATTTTGTTCAAATCACGCTTGAAATTAGTTCATCTTCACGAAAGTTTTGCCGTACAGAGTTCGTTGTAAACGAATAATTTTGACTTGATATGATGCCTGGCCAACCATAGGGTTGGCCCTAGTTCGTACTAAAGGGAAGTTCGCCTTGTCAGTGTTCGTCCTAACGAGGTTTGACTGTATAAGAAGAAAAGAGGACCAAAGAGCTACAAGCTACGCTGTAATATCCACTAACACCACCAGCTACTTTACAATCAGCTCATGCGATAACATTGCACGACACTAACCAATGGTTCTGACGTTCTACACCTAACTGGCGATCAGCTCTAGCAAGTCTTGTTGGAGTGTGCATCCAAGACGTGCTAGAGCTGATCGCCAGTTAGGTGTAGAACGTCAGAACCATTGGTTAGTGTCGTGCAATGTCATCGCATGAGCTGGTGGTGTTAGTGGATATTATAGCGTAGCTTGTAGCTCTTTGGTCCTCTCTTCTTCTTATCAATATTTGTATTAGGGGTGAAACGGTTACCCTTTAAGGTTACACCGGGTACCTGGCTTAACGGGCGGGTTATCCGGTACCCTTAAGGGGCCGGTCAGATTGAAATTGATCATTCTTCTCATATACATCTGCCACCACCTTCAAATCTTCCAGTTTGAACTTGAATTTAGCCAGGTGTTTGTTGAGGTACCTCAGATCCAGAATAAGCCTTAGCTTCTTCCCATTATCCACCACTCCCAACGGGCTACACACTGACACTTGGTCTCTGCTAACCTCTTTAACCCTTTGGAGTCCATGGTTCGATTTCGAACCATGGACATTTTGTATGCATGTGGGCGCAGTCAAACTTTCGGTTCTCGGCCAAATCTTGACCAAATTCAACAATCGAAGAGTCTAGGTGGTAGAGAAAACTCTCAGCTATCGCCTTGAACACGTCCGAAGTCTCTCCGATGAAGTTCGAGGGAGCGGCGAGCGATCGAACACTTTGAATTTTCTGCGCTGCGTGCTGCGAGTCAGTAGTGCGTGAAAAAAAGGGATTTTCCCAGCTTCAGGACAGGCGGAACGTGCCAGGACTGGCGCGGCGCGAAGTCACGGCAAAGTAAGCTGCTACTCGAACATTTTTTAACAGTTTCGAGCTAGATTCAGTGAAATGGCTGCAAGAGACCGATTTCGTCTCAGATCTGGAGCTGGACTCCCGTTTGGAGCGCGTTGTGGCCGACAATGAGTAGTACTCTTGGCGAGTTTGGGCTCATTGTATTACTCTCATCAAGAGCTTTCCAACGAGCCCAATATCTTCAAAATCGGTGAAGTAAAACCGAAGTTATGTTGGAAATTGAGTGCGCATTTTCGTGACGGCCACAAATGCTGAGGAAGCAAAAAAGTTATGGACTCCAAAGGGTTAATACAACCGCGAGAAAGCATATCTGAAATGGCCTCCCCGACAAAATCTGGAAACTCATGTGTACTTTTGTGGTTGTCTGACAACCTGGGCCTTGGCAATCTAACAAATGGCAACGTGTATCCATTATTGATTACTTCAAGTACAAACTTTGATGCTCCGATTTCTTCCCAGAACTGCGCGTTTTTCTTTAGCCTGCCAATGACCACCCTGTCCCGGTCCCCTCCTAACTCCCCATCCGCGCTATGCAACATAGAATAGGTTTCAGCATCTAATTCATTGCTTTGAAATGACATATCATAGTCGTCGGCTCCACAGAGTTCAGGCATTTCGCGGCTGGCTAGATGCTTCCCGGCGGGGACACACGCGAATGTAGTGGCCTGTTTCGCCGCAATGGTGGCATGCACCGCTGGTGGGGGGAAATGGCTGCCGGGCTGTTGTGGCGCTTGGGGCCAAGTTTGCATTGTGGGCACCCCACCCCTTGGCCGACTGGGATGGAGTGCGGGGGAGAAAGGGCTGCTTGGCTTTTGGCGCCGGGAGGATTAGATGGCTTCCATTAGCCTCTTCCTTTTCTGCGGGCACCCGACAATCCCCAGCATCTCGCCACCCTCTGCAAACTTTGCGGCTGCCTCGTGCCCGTGAGCATCCACAATAACCAGCCACTCTTGCCTATCCCGCAACAAGTTCTCACCTTGCTTGGTGGCTCGCCTTGCCCTGTCCACCTTCCTCTTCCCTAGAGCAGCACGCACTTCGCCAAGCTCTTCCAGCACAGCAGCGTTTGTCTCGTACTGTCTCTCGTACGAGGGTTTTTTCCACTGCCTCGACGAGGTTGACCGGGGAAACACGGAACGGCTTCTTGACTCTTTTGCCTCTTTTGCCTTTTTTGCGATGGCGAGACTCGGGAGATGACGATGATGACGGAGACGAACAGGGGGAAGATGAGGATGATGACGATGACGATGGGGACCGACGACGACGCCGAAGGCTTGCCCGTTCCTTGGCCAGCGCCGATTCTAGGGCGCCGATCCTCAACTGCTGCTCCTGCAGCTGGGTGTTCAGTTCGGCTCCACTGTCGGAGCTGCTTGCTTCAGGTCTGCTTGCCGAGGCAGGCAAACTACCTCCCCTGGAGGACCTACTCCGGCCTCTTGGGGTGGAGGATCGTCCACGTCCAGGCATGATCAGACAGATTACACTAAAGAAACGAAGAGAAAAACATTCGGCCACGCAGCGAAAATTTGCAACTGTACAGCAGCAGTGCAAGAACAAAAAGAACACTGTCTTCAGACCAGCATGCACCTTCATGTGCATGCTGCAACTCCGCACTGTGCAGCCAGTGTGCACCGCACTCGCAGCACAGTCCGTGAACTCTGGACTGTGCACTCACGTTTCGAAAAGAACAGCATTTCTTGTTTACTTCATTGCTCTCATCCAACAAGAAATGAGGCATTTTTTCGAATTTTCCCTCAGCCAATAGTGACAGTTACTATACATTTCATGCGAGCAGGACATGCAAAGTCATGCAATTCACAGCAAGTACACTACAATGCTACAAGCACAGCATGTGCACTTACCACGCTACATACAAAACAGTCAAAATTGTCATATGTAGCAGGATCGAACAAGCAACACCACATTCAAACTGTACATAGAATTGTGCAACTGTGCAAACCAGCTAATATTACCATACTGTACCGTCGTACACGACAAACGGGTACTCGTTTGCTAACGGGTCAGCAGCTAAACAAACGGGTACCCGAGTATACCCGGATCACCCCTTTCACCCCTAATTTTTACCATATTAGAGGTCGTCCATAAATATCGAACCTTTTTCACAAAACGAAATAATTTCGTTATGGGGTGGGTGGGGGGTTGACCAATTTCGTTTCAGAAAACATTGATTCATGTACATGGCCATAGGACTGGTAGGAGCAGTTACACACTTGCAACTTTTGTTGCATGCATATGTCAAACTTTTTTACGTTCTGAGGGGGAGGGAGGGAGGGGTTGCGTCTAAACTAAAATAATTCGTTTGGTGAAAAATGTTCGATAATTACGGACGGCCCCTTAAATATTTAATTTAATTTTTTTTTTTTTTATGTAGTTGTTTGCTTGTTTTGGTCTGTCAAGGATGATACCACAGTTCAGACTGTTTGATTCTTGAAGTGTTCTCTCAGTCCCTGTTGTCTTTACCCTTGACAATGTTGTTTCTTCATCTTTTCAGGAAACTGACGAGGCAGCCGGGGCAAATTTGGCAAGAGAAGTTGATGGAGATTGTGGTGATTCAAGAGAAGAAGTTGACGATAATGTTTCTATCAATCCCAGCAACAGCACTGGCAGTAGGTCCACGTCCGCGCTCGGAACACCATCAGACTCGGTGTTTCCTTCGGACATTGATGAGTATGAAGTATTGGACGTCGCAAATTCGTCCAGTGATGGGGAGTACACGCGCCTGATGGATGCTGCATGCCGTCAGTCTTCGAGTGAGGACGACGATGATGATAGTGATACTAACTCCTTGTCAGATATTGAGCCTGGTAGTATTGTTAGCAAGGCTGGCCAGAACTCATGTGCTGCTCCACACATTGCCATGGTGCATGCAAACCGTGGCCTAGCCAGTGAAGAGGATAGTAGTGAGGAGGAGCAATCTGATACGGAGCGAACAAAACTAGCCAGGGCGCTGAGCTCACTGCGTGGTCTGGAAGAGCGGCCTGTTTTTCATGACGGTCTTCTCGTGACTACCAACAATACGGATGTAAAGGCTAGAGGTGAGTAGTTGTTAAAAGTGTTGAAACACACAGCATTAGCAATAATAGCGTATTCCATAGTGGAGGGAATGGAAAAATTGCCGCTTTATTAAATGCACGTCCTGGGAATAGGTAGGTGGTAGTGGTGTTGTGGTAGTCTTGTCACATCTCAGGCTGTGTTCACAACTGGCGCGTGTACACGTGAAACCACGCGTTTGTGCATATTTTTGCTGGCTTTTGGGGCGCCATGCGTGCGGAAACGCGCCGAAGTGGAAATTCCAACATGTTGGAATTTTCAGCGAGTATCAGGCGTGTACCAGCGTACATGCCAGTCACTTTCACTGGCGGGGTAAAAAAAAATAGTACTCGAAGGTGTCGAAACCGCTAAATACGAGTCGGATTGCTGTTTTTTTTTTGTGAAAGCCTGAGCACGCATTTGGGCACGCATGAACCGCAAGCGTATCGCGTCCACGCACCAGTTGCATAGGTAGTTAGAGATGATTTCAGAAGGCAAACGCATCTTGAGCAACCAGCCGTGCATAGGCATAGTCTAGACTACTAGTACACCAATCTTCAAAAGCAGGTGTTGTTTAAAAAAACATGTCGGAAATTTGTGCCGTATTGAAAGATGTGCAAGAACCTGGAATGACTGGTCTACGAGGCAGGTGATCTCTTGCAACTGTGACATTCACTCCTAACAGGTATTCCTGTACCTTTTCTCTAAATTACTGTCTTTCAGAACAATTTGGTTTGGTGGAATAAGGTGATTGTGTATTTGTGTTGCTGCTCTTTTGAGTGGTGTAGTTCCTCAACTGCTTTTCGCTATGTATGTGTACCTGTGTGTGGTGTGTGTGTGTGTGTGTGTGTGTGTGTGTGTGTGTGTGTGTGTGTGTGTGTGTGTGTGTGTGTGTGTGTGTGTGTGTGTGTGTGTGTGTGTGTGTGTGTGTGTGTGTGTGTGTGTGTGTGTGTGTGTGTGTGTGTGTGTGTGTGTGTGTGTGTGTGTGTGTGTGTGTGTGTGTGTGTGTGTGTGTGTGTGTGTGTGTGTGTGTGTGTGTGTGTGTGTGTGTGTGTGTGTGTGTGTGTGTGTGTGTGTGTGTGTGTGTGTGTGTGTGTGTGTGTGTGTGTGTGTGTGTGTGTGTGTGTGTGTGTGTGTGTGTGTGTGTGTGATGTGTGGTGTGTGTGTGTGTGTGTGTGTGTGTGTGTGTGTGTGTGTGTGTGTGTGTGTGTGTGTGTGTGTGTGTGGTGTGTGTGTGTGTGTTGTGTGTGTGTGTGTGTGTGTGTGTGTGTGTGTGTGTGGTGTGTGTGTGTGTGTGTGTGTGTGTGTGTGTGTGTGTGTGCCTGGCTGCATTAGATGACTTGTGGTGTATCAACAGCACTGACAGGATGGTGAGTGTTCTGTAGACTCATGGTTGACTTGGTTCCCCGTTGAGTGATTTCTAATACAGTCTCTGAAATTCAAGTAGTTCCTGGTGCTGACAATAGTGCAATGTAGTGTGTGATACATGTATCAGTGACCTCACTTGTACTGTACATATAGTTGCCGGCATAGTGCACATGTTGACACACTCCTTTTGGCTGTAACCAAACCGGGTTGCCCACTCTTCTCAACTTATGAAGATGTAGTGTGTATGAAATGATTGAAATCATCAGTGTACTGTACCTCAGATGGTCTAAGTTTGGTCACCCAAAGAAGTACACATTCATAGAGGTTGTTTTTCCTTCGTCACATGCTTTGATCACATGGCATGATTGGTTTATGCGAGGACAGAGTAGTGGCATGTCACATGTGTAACGAGTGGCAGGTCAATATCTCTGTGAAGTGCATCATACATGCAGCATGTGATGTCAGCGAACAGTATCCTCCAGACAGTCGACGGTGTGTTATACTGTGGTGTGCGCGGTATGTGTACAATTTGATACACATGCCTAATATCCTTGAAGTTATTTTTCTTATTACTTCTCTTCAGCCATGGTAAGTATTTTATAACTTGCTTTCTATCCTGTCCTCTATCCTTATTGCAGCGGTCAACGGCTGGTGGCCGGTCTCGCTACTATACCAAAAAGATGGTCTGCAGCAACTGTGATGGGGAAGGACATGGATGGAAGCAGTGTCCCAAACCTAAGGTAGTCTTGCCACCTGCTCTAGCCAAGTGTACAATCTATACTTTCCAGTACTGGAAAACGGCTGAATTTAGCCGTGGTTTACAATGGTAGTTTTTTTTGTTTTTCGCCTATACTGTAAAACGGATAACTATTGCGACGTAAAAATGTTTGCGAATTTTGCGAGAGGCCCCGAATCGCAAACTTTGAACAACGCAAACTCGCGCCATGTAAAGTTCAGTGCAAGGACTGACTCGACTGTGTAGAACGACTGTAGAACGACTCGCAAACATTTATTGTCGCAAACGTTACCCGTTTTACAGTTTTCTTCTTCTCGCCGGGTGAAAATTGTTTTTCTTGGATCAGTATTCAATAATTTGGACCAGAGACTCCGGTCACCACAATGTATCATCGCAAAGTTTTTTGGAATTGCTGGTGGTTTTCCAAGCTATTGGCTCTTGGTATCATCCATCCAATCTATCTTATTTTGTGCTGCTGCCCCCCCCCCCCCCTCTCTCTCTCTCTCTCTGTCTCTCTGTCTCTCTCTGTCTCTCTCTGTCTCTCTCTCTCTCTCTCTCTGTCTCTCTCTCTCGGTCTGTCTCTCTCTGTCTCTCTCTCTCTCTCTCTCTCTCTCTCTCTCTCTCTCTCTCTCTCTCTCTCTCTCTCTCTCTCTCTCTCTCTCTCTCTCTCTCTCTCTCTCTCTCTCTCTCTGTCTCTCTCTCTCTGTCTCTCTCTCTCTCTCTCTCTCTCTCTCTCTCTCTCTCTCTCTCTCTCTCTCTCTCTCTCTCTCTCTCTCTCTCTCTCTCTCTCTCTCTCTCTCTCTCTCTCTCTCTCTCTCTCTCTCTCTCTCTCTCTCTCTCTCTCTCTCTCTCTCTCTCGGGAAGGCAGCTGGGAAGCGACACACTGTGCACGCGCATATGTGTTTGTATGTATGTCCATGCATGTAGTTGGAGAGGGTGATGCTATGCAGTTATGTTACAGCTGTTTCAATGCTGCTTGTTGGTGATTGCGCTACTTGCATAGAAAAAGCGTCCCTGTGTGAAGTGCGGCCTCAAGGATCACCCAGAATGGAACTGTCCTGATGAAATTTGTTATCGGTGCATGCAGCCTGGTCATCGAGCAAGAGTAAGCGTCTGCTCTATAACTCACTAGCCCTATGCACGTGTGGAAATGTATCACACACGCTCACATATTATGTGAGTGTATGTGTGTGTGTGTGTGTGTGTATTTGTGTGTGTGTGTGTGTGTATTTGTGTGTGTGTGTGTATTTGTGTGTGTGGGTGGGTGGGTGTGTATTTGCAAGTGGATGCATGGTGTGTTTGTTATGCACATGTACTTCCAATGGAAGTTGTTTTCTGTTGATGGTATCCTCCAACACCTTTCTGGTTGACTTGCAGACTTTTTTAACCTGTATTTTTTATGGATTGTAGTCAACTCTTGCATTGTTTCAGACCTTCTGATGAAGCGAAATGCATGTTTCGGGTCTCTTCATTGTACAATGTAACTCCTACCATGTTCTTTGGTAGTATCGGAAACACATCACACGATTGTAGTGCGATGAAGGGCCCAACAACTTGAGCTCAAATCAACTTTTTCTGCGGTGCAACGCGTTTCCCGTACGCGAACTGAAGTATGAGTCCGGCATTAATCTGTGCTTTATGTTGTGCTTGATACAGGATTGTCGCCGTGCACGTGGGAGAGGCATGTATGAGCAATGTGAACGTTGCTTGATGCGTGGCCACAGTGCTGAGGTAATGTGGCATGGTGACTGTGTGTGTGTGTGTGTGTGTGTGTGTGTGTGTGTGTGTGTGTGTGTGTGTGTGTGTGTGTGTCCCATATGGTGCAGTGGTATGTGCAGTCGATTTCCAATCGAGAGGTTGCAGATTCAATTCCCGACGATTATGGTCGCACACGTCTTTCTTCTCTTTCTCGGACTCTTCCTGACTTTTCTTTCATTCTCCTGGGTGGTTACCAACAGCCAGTGTATGCCGGAGTATGTGGTGTGGTGTGTGTGTGTAAAAAATAAAATAAAAAAAGGAAAAAATTGAAATGAAAAATAGGGGTTCACTGGCCAGAAAAAGTCACTTCAAACAGCTGTGTGGTGGATACCAGGCTAAAAATAGTGGCGGTCAATTCATCAGCCTTGCACGCTGTTGAATGGTGTAATCCCAGCACAAGTTGCTATGTCTAACATAGCTGTTCGCTATCATCGCTTCCGCGATGGGCATGTCTGAGGTCTGAGGTGTGTGTGTATGTGTGTGTGTGTATGTGTGCGTGTGCGTGCGTGTGCGTGTGTGTGTGTGTGTGTGTGTGTGTGTGTGTGAGGTATGGGGGGGGGGGGGGGGGGGGGCTATTCTCTGACTTCCATTATAGGCATCTTTCATCTTGAAATTTTATTGAGGTGTATTTACTCGAAAATTGATGGCGCGGAACATTCAAGCTGGCAGCTTTCCCGCCAGCTCTCTATTCAGCCCTGTTCAGATTTGTCATCAAGCACCACACCATAACCATGAGATTGATTTTCTTTTATAAACTGGGTACATTTTGGTTTTTGTCAGTGGCTCTGAGTCTCGTTTAGCCTAATTGCTCTTTTGTTCTGTATTCTTCTCTTTCCTATTGCTGCCCACACAGTTCTGTTCTGATCTTTGGAGGCAGTACCATCACACAACAGTAAGCTAACTGCCCATGCACAGCTCAGTGTATGCACAGCTCTGTGTTTACTGACGTAGATTGACAGTGCATGGACCCATTAGTTTTGACCCCACCCCCGACACACACACCTTGAACGTGCCCATTGCAGTGATAGCGAAGGGACTATGTGCTAGCTTTGCAGTACGGAGCGTGGCGCTTGAGATCCCCGGGATGCCGGCAGACCTTCCCATATTCACATCGGAAGCCAGAGTTAGGATCACGGGGAGCACGGGCTGGAGGATGACGGTGAGCAATCTGCCTCCAGGCAGAACAATCTTAGGCAGCAGTAAACCAGCAGTTAGAAGGCACAGGGGGGGGGGGGGGGGGTGGATGGAGCGCAGATCATCTATGATGACGTCACGCCACCGCTTGTGTGGACCATGGCGAGGACGTGTTTCAGGGAGCTCCCCAAACGAAACTCGCTTCGGCATACAGTCGTCGATCATCCGGCCAACGTGCCCAGGCCAACGCAGCCAACAAACCAACACACACACACACACACACACACACACACACACACACACACACACACACACACACACACACACACAATATCATGGCCGCCCTGGTCAGGTATTTCCTGCCTCGGTTGTCAGTGCACTGTTCTGTTTCCCTGTGCAATTAAAAAGTCTGTCTGTACATTGTTTTAAAAAGTCTGGCTGTACATTGTTTTGTGGATGTTTCAGAGCTCAAGTGCTGACTTGACACGTGGATCATCGCGGCCTGTTAAGGATCTGTACTGTTACAATTGTGCTCGGAAAGGTCATCTCGGTCATGTGAGTCTCCTCCTCTGCTGCTACTGGTGCTGCTGTCTGCTGCTGTTTGCTGGTTATATCGCCATGACTACATAAACCAGACTGTGCAACTCAGCTCAGCGTGGCCCAAGGTGAATTTTTGACATATTTCCGTGAAATAGTTGGTCCGGCTCATCGCAATTGTCGCTTATCCCCCACGCACTTTTTGACAGGTAAAACCCAGTCCAATCACGATATCTAACTTACTTTTGCTTGGGAGGTCGTGATGGCAAGATCAATGGAGGCACCAAAGAAAAAATGATCGTGACTAGCGCTTTGAATCGCGATGTTTTCGACTTTTTTGGGAAGTGGGAATCTTGCCATTCACTGTGCATGTCTGTGTTGCCAAAAGCCAAGCGCAGCGACTGGAAGACCGGAACTGTAGCAGGGGCAACTGACATCCTGGCCTGGAGAGCGTGACAGGCACGCGTGTACTGCAGAGAAGTACTAGCTTCATGCTGAAGAAGAAAGGTGTTTTTGATGGAGCAGCTGCATTACATGAGTCTGAGTCGTGGCCAGCGTATCCAGGTATCCAGCGGAGCAGCATATGGCAGCTGTCTGGAGAGGCCTCATTCGAAGGCTTTGTTGAAACACACTGTGGTGACACACAGGTCACACTGCCCACGGTTCCTTCAAGCACCGAAGTGACAGCCACAACTGTTCCTTTCCCATTGCTGCCATACGACAGGCTGAGAACACAAGAGATAGTCTACGCCAGCAGCTAGACAACAGCAAATGTCAGCTCATGTAAGGGCGAGGCTCGAGAGATGCAGAGTTGAATGAACTCTGGACCTGTATTACTAGTGTGAGTGCAAGAACGCGCTCCTTCGCTGATTTATTTCGTGCATTTTGCTTACCTTGCTTCCTTTCTTCGACTCGCTTCACCTGATTCCATTGGTGATTTTTTTACTTGTGGCAGAGAGTATTCATGTACAGTCAAATCTGCCGTTAGCGACCTCTGCTGTAGGCGACCATCTACCGTTAGCGACCGATTTTCCGTGCACCGACGGTTTCACATACAAACTGATCTGTCCAGAGCGACCATCTGCTGTGCGCGACCAGCGACCGCGATTTCATGCACGGTGGCTGCATTCAAATCTGCTGTAAGCGACCGCGACCCAGGTTCAGTAAGGTGCGAAACTGTACTTGCCAGTGCGCTGTCAACTGCAAAGTGTGAAAATGCGCTGTCTTGAAAGTGCGATGGACTGGCGCCTGGCCTGTACTGAGGCTGTGCTGTAGCTCTCAAGTCCAGGCAGTGTCGATCTACTGCCGTGTCGCATACGCGTACTATACGGGTATGGTCGTCGTTGAATATCCAATAAAATATAAAAAATCACATTATTCTCGTCGATTTGAGTACATGGAAGCATATACCTGGTATGCCGGATTTACCATACATCTGCCGTAAGAGACCATCTGCCGTAAGCGACCGCTTTTTCTTGCACCAAGGGGCGGTCGCTTACGACAGATTTGACTGTACCATGCTTCCTCACTATGCCTGTTGGAAATTTCACAGAGCGGTAAAAAAACTCCTGTTCTTAGTGGCGATAGATAAGCGACAATTGCGATGAGCCGGACCAAGTAGTAGAATGCCGATTATCCGAACGTCAAGTATTATCCGAACGATCAATTATCTGAAATGCCTGGTTGCATTGAATTGAATTGGGCCAAAAAATATGTATATTGGCTTTAGATACAGTGTGAGCATACTGCCAGTGCTGCCTCTCATTTGCTCTGTCTCAGTGAGAGTTACTCTGTCTCAGTGAGCGTTGCTCTGTCTCAGTGAGAGTTGCTGTTGTTTTGCTGGCAAGTCTGAGAAGCTCAGAGGCGCTTATATGGTATTGTATGTGTAGTACATTGTTAGAAGTTGTTCACAAGGGGAACTTTGGCACTGTGGGAGAGCTTGTGTTACATTTATGTCGACCGTGTTGTGTGTGTGTGTTGGGGGGGGGGGAGAGACAGAGACAGAGAGGGAGGAGAGAGAGAGAGAGAGAGAGAGAGAGAGAGAGAGAGAGAGAGAGAGAGAGAGAGAGAGAGAGAGAGAGAGAGAGAGAGAGAGAGAGAGAGAGAGAGAGAGAGAGAAGGAGGGAGAGAAGGAGGGAGGGAGAGAGAGAGAGAGAGCTCATGGCTCCGTCATCTAATATCATCTTCTCTGGTCTCTTTCTGCTCACCTGTAGGAGTGCACAAGGGAGCGTTTAAATAACTTCATGCCAATGCTGCCATTTGTAGCTGTGTACGGCAAGTCACACAGTGCACCAAGCACACCGAATCGGCGCATTGCTCATACCCCCAGGCATCGACATTCCATGGATGATGGCACGTTTGGGAAAATGAAGAAAAGAAAAAGTTTCGCAAGCAGAGGGGAAGATAGCTTTACTCAGCGGCGTACGTCACATCACGAGTCAGCGTCAACAGCATCACAGAATGGTGTAAAGAACCAGCACAAGTGGTTTGACGATGATCTGAGCATAGAGCCAGCAATGGATCCACACTCATCCCCTCCTGTAGACGATAGGTCTTTTTCAAAGAAGAGTAAGAAGAGCAAACGGAAACATCACCAATCAGAAGCAGGCGAATCATTCACTTCGGAAAACGTCGCTCAATTCCTCGCTACGGACATTAGTGAGAGCACAGCGTGCGACGTTGGAAAGAAGAAGAAAAAGAAGAAGAAAAGCAAGCAGGGGGCTGAAGAGCCCTCATTACCACCGCAGACTAACAATGACCTCGACCATAGCTGGTCATCTGAGCGGCAAGTTTTCCAGCCTGCAACTGCCAGCACACCTCATCACAAGCAATCACATAAGAAGGCTAACAAGAGCTTCTCTGGGTATGAAAAGAAACAGAACAAGTCTGTCCGGAAGTCGTGGTCCGGCGATAATAATCACCACCACCAGCAGCAGCAGCAGCATGAACAACATCACAACCGTCATGATTGGTCGGCTAACCGTTCACCTAACAAGCACTGGCAAGGAAACAATGGCGGCCAGTGGGGTCCAAACCAGCATCAGAAGAACAGCAAGAAGAAGGTATGCAGTGGCGTAGTTAAGTGTCGTTCTCCTTATGAGGAGGCGACAGAAAGATGAGCTTTAAATCTTAAAACATGTGGCACTGTTGTTACTAGTCAAGGAGCTATCTCCATGTTCATTGTGCTTGCTTTACGTGTGAGAATAGAGGAATTTTGGAGCAGCCAAGTGAATTTTAATACCTCTGTTGCCAAACTGCGTATTCTTTTAACGCCTGAGCTGGGCGTCTCGTGCTATGTTGATAGGTATGGCAATCATCATTTTGGCTGCTCTCAAACCATTTCCAGAAAACGAGAGCTTGAGTGTTTTAAATCTAAGTAGTTTTGTGGGTTCAAGCCTCCCCATCACTATCATACTTGTGTCTGGTGCTCTGATGCGAATATGGGACCCTTCACGTATTGACCGTCCGTCATTATGTTGAGCATCTATGTCACTACCAATGCTATCAAGAGTACATGAGCAGATTGCAACTCTGTATCTATGCTGCATAATCATCCACAGTGAAGTTTCTGTTTGTTTTGGTCAGCGTGAGTCAAGGGGATGGCGTCATACATAGGTTCAGGGCCAATTCACTGTATCACGTAGGTGACAACGGGAAATTCACATGCGTTTTTTGCAGCTTTTTCACAGAAAATGCCTTTGTGATATGGTAGAATGACCTTTGTTACCGGTGTGGGCTACAGCAAGTGTGAGTCACTATGACCTAAAGCAAAAGATTACTTTGCCCTTTGATCATTTTTCCAGAGTTGTAAGTTACACACTTGTGTGTGTGTGTGTGTGTGTGTGTGTGTGTGTGTGTGTGTGTGTGTGTGTGTGTGCTTGTGTGTGTGTGTGTGTACGTGTGTGTGTGTGTGCTTGCGTGCGCGCGTGTCTGTGTGTACGTGCGTGCACATCCCAATGTAGAATCGGCATAGATCCTTTGAAAATGCGCCAGAGCAACCTGAGCAGCGTCATATGAATAATGATGGCACAGTTACAGCTGCCGCACGGGGCAAGAAGGCACGAGCATCAGCATCGCGTGGATTCAAGATGTCTGCTAAAGGTAGCCGAATTGTCACTGGTGATAACTAATGTTGCATAACTTACCTCTGTTCACTGGTCTCTGTAGAGACCAGTGGACAGTTTCTATAGGTTCTGGAGGGAAGTTGAAATTCACTCTGGAGCCTCACTCAGTTTTGACCTATACACACACTACGGAAGTCAGATTGTCCGTTGGTTGTTTCGTACTCGTCTGTTTCATATTGTGTGTATGTACCATCACCGCTGCACATAGCTTGGCTATCTATTGTGAGCAGTCTGCTGCTCCTGCTGCTATGTATTTTCCTGTTCTGCAGCGTACACACACCCCATCTATTTTTATATCAGCAGAGATTTTCGTGGCTATGCAATGTCCATATATGGACTGGTTGATATTTTTTTACGTTCAGGCCAATTTATGAATCTGCTCTTACAATTACTTCGAAGTAGTTAAAGGGGAAGTTAAGGCTAAAATCAAATTTTCACCAGTTGTAGTCTTCGGGGTGCTGAGTCGAATGGTCTTGGTACGAGGAAGCTGAGACGCTCCCTTCCTACTTTAATCCCAATCGAACTCGCGCACTTCCACCGAAACTGGGTGACTGCGCCCTACTAGATGGGGATTTGTATGCAAAATGTCACTAAAAGCGCCATTTCGTTCTTATAAAAGCACGGATGACCGCGATTGGCCCATATGTTGTAGTCTTCTGGCCGCTGAGTCGACTGGTTTTGGTCCGAAAAGGCTGCGATGCAGCGTTCGGCCCTTATTCCCAATCGAACATGCTTGAACAAGCGGTCACGTGCTCCTACGTACACCAGTCACCTGGTCACCGTGCCTGCAGGGTACAACTTACTAGCCTGTATGACCTTTTTTGGGTGCAGTCCTGTCACTCGAGTTGAACCTTGGTGTGAAAGTTGTCGCCTGCTGGCGCTGTGACCAGGTGACTTGGGCACGCAGGAGCACGTGACCGCTTGTTCACCATGTTCGATTGGGAATAAAGGAGGAACGCTGCATCGCAGCTTTCTCGGACCGAAACCAGTTTAATACTTGTACAGAGCCACAATCTGCACGTGCGCTGCTCCCCATCCGCATATGGTGCGCTGTATTTGAGTATGCCTCTAGCACTACTGTAGTGTAGGGTAGATACTGATCATGCCTGCAGCCCATTAGTATTACTGCATTAGCAGGCTGTGATGTCAGTCAGATGCTAGTAACAGTGAACTGGGTTTGTGGATTGTCCGACCAGCATACTATGCAGTAAGTTATCATAGCAATCTGTACATCATGGTACATAGCGAAGAGAAAGGGTACCCTGCTGCGTTGTGTCTGCACAAACCACGCAGTCATAGACAATCATTAGCAAGAGTAAATGTCATGGCAAGATAATCTGCAGCCATTCATTGTTCAAGTGTTGCAGATTCCGGTTAGAGCATCTCAATACTTCCTCAAGAGAAGCAATGATCTACACATGTGGTTATAAGCTACAGAGAAACGGTTGGCAAACCGCTGGAAAAGTGCTCAATTCACAGCAGTACAGAGCTCCAACTACAGCCATACAGGTATATGACAGCGTGTTCTGAGCTGCAGTGATGCTACTGTGTGTGCTTGTGAAATGCTTGCAGAGAAGGGATTTCGTTGATCTTCCCTGCATGAGAGTTTCAAGTACATGTAGCGATGTATACAGCCACATGTGCACTAGTACGCGAGTACAGCAGTATGATTATGTAAGTTCAATGTGCTCGCGTGTGTGTGCGTGTGTGTCTACTTGTGCGAGTACAGCATTATGGTTACCGTATTTCCTCGATTAATGGACCATGCTCGAATAATAGACCATGCTCAAATAGTAGACCCTCCTAGAGGCCTCACGGAAAAATAGTAGACCATGCCCGAATATGAGACCCGGTCTCTTATTTGAGTTCATCGCTTTGCGCATGCGCACTAAGAAAGCACGTGGTGGATCAAAAAAGGACGCGATTTTAGGTTGCGCAACTACAATTTTTGTAGTGGCTAGTGCTTTCTTTCATTATTTGAGCACGGGCCACTATATTTTCATCGGCACATCGCTGGAAATGGTGGATTTTTAACACGTCATAATATAGAACTTCTATATTATGACGTATTACAAAATTCACCATTTCCAGCGATGTGCCGATGAAAATATAGTGGACCGTGCTCGAATAATGGACCATGCCCAAATAAGAGACCGGGGGTCCAACCCTCTTCAAAAAACAAAAGACCGGGTCTATTAATCGAGGAAATACGGTATGTAAGGTCAATGTGCTCGTGTGTGTGTGTGTGTGCGTGTGTGTCTACTTGTGCGAGTACAGCATTATGATTATGTAAGTTCAAAGTGCTCGTGTGTGTGTGTGTGTGTGTGTGTGTGTGTGTGTGTGTGTGTGTGTGTCTACTTGTAGTCACCATCCGTTAGATACTACAGCTGTCCATGTGTATTGATACTACAGCTGTCCATGTGTATTGAGGTAACCCAGGCGGCTACGTGCACTAGAAATCTGTTCCTGGAGCTGATGCCATGTCAAGACGAATAGGAGAAGACAGTTGAGCTAGTTGTTCGATAACCTGAGAAGAGATGGTAATCAATGCAAACACACAGCAACAACTGATCAAGATTATGAGAATTGCAAGACTGCAGCATTGCAAAGCACACCCCAAATGTTAGCGACAGAAGTCTTAGCCGATTTAGCCAATGCGTCAAATTCGCTCAGCTGGGACTCGGGGACCACTGTTCCAAGATCGTTGCCTGTACGGTCATGTACTTCGAAGTAGCTATATAAGTGCAATGGGATTATTGGATTGCTATAATAAATCGTTGCTAATTTTCGACAACATGAAAATGTTAAAAATGTTCTTCGCTAAATTTGGAGGTTTACTGTACATGCGCTGATGAACAGAGTGAAGACAAAGACAAATAGGGGCGGTTGCAGTGTGCAGTGAAACCGGTCTAAGACGACCGCTCAAGGGACCTTCAAAACATGGTCTTTGTAACCAGGTGGCCTCCTTGTCCAGGGTCATTTGACTGAAAAAAGCATCCCTTGGTCCTGGTTGTAGTGGTCCTCTTGGACAGGTGGTCTTATCTTATCCGAGTGGTCTTATCTTATCCGAGTGGTCTTATCTTATCCGAGTGGTCGCTGCCTTGACAGCAGGTTTTACTGTATGTGAGCGATGAATCCAGTCTTTAATGTTGGTGAAGCAGGTGTGACAAGGGCGGCCGCTGGGTCGTGATCCAGCGACCATTCCAGCTGAGAAGTACAGTCAACTTTGCGTATCACGACACCTGGCGGGCATCAGAAAAGTGTCCTTATTCGGGAAGTGTCTTTATAAACCGAAGTTTCATTATATGTATTACAGATAGATGGGACTTTGCTCTGGGCATGGAAATTCTGTCGTTATACCTGCAGTCGTTATTAGCGAAGTTGACTGTAGCCAAAGAAATGATTACCGGTATGAGGCATAGCTACATGCTCTGTGATATCTTGATATGGACCAGGTCTGGTAGCCATACTTGTGGAACAGTAGCATGACGAATAGCAGGTACAAGGCATACATTTTTTTAAGCATAATGCATAATGCCATAATACTACTATTAAATATTATAATACTGGAGAAGAGAGGTCCATCACATACCTCATCAAGAGTGCAAGCAGTTTCCAATGGCTGACCATTTATACCGAGTATCTGATCTCCGGGGTGTAACATTCCCGTATCGGCGGCAGCTCCGACTGGACTGATTGCCTTGACGAATATGGGCAAATCACCTTCATCACAGCCACTGCCACCAGCTAGGCACATGCCGAGTGGCGAGCCTTCTTCAAAAGCCAGCGTGACACGCTTCTGAACCTGGTTGTAGCTGAATACGGAAGTGAACAAAGTAAAAAAAAAACCCACACGCAATGACAACCACGGATAATTGTATCTCACGGCTGGAACAATCGGATCTGTGTTGAGGGTGGTATCTGTGGAATACCTTTTTTTCTTCGGAAGTACTTTTGCACATTGGCCAACTATTAAAGGGCATTCATCGAGAAATGTAGCAAAATAAGCCCAGAAGAGGAAATCTGTATGCTCTAAAGAGCAGTGAGTCCATGCATACTGTAGTTGACATGCCATGCAAGCTACCGCTAGCTTACCTAACGGATGTAACCCATAATGGCCAATGCAAAGAGAGTCCAGCGCCGGGAGTGTTTGGGTCGCCCTGGATCAGATGAAAGCGCACACTGTCGCTGAACGACGCAGACTTGAGCAGTGCAACTGCTTCTTGATGACTACGGCCAGCTAGGCTGGTTCCTCTGATGGACAGCAGAATGTCACCGCGTTGCATTTGCCCGGTGCGTGCTGCAGGTCCACCGTCGGTTAGCTTGGTAACGAAGACGGGCAAGTCCTTGAAGTCACCGTGTACCGTACCAACACCGCCTGACACAGTCATTCCCAGTGAGGTCTCGGTACCACCCTGCACATGTATGCATACAGCCAGCAGAGAAGGGCACTTGACAAAAGAGGGCAGGCCTGAGGAAACACATTGACCTGACAGCGCAGCTCCACAGGCATAGCTAGCTGTACAGCTCTACGACATTACAGATGTCTCACACGAAAGATGTTCAATACGTGCATCGTAGGCATGTTCTTGAGTCCTATGGTTGAAGTCAAGCTATGCGCATGTGAATAGTCAATAGAGGATATCTGTGCTGCAGTGCTTAGCTGGGGACCATCTCTGATACATATACATGTACATACCTTTGTGACAATAACTATCTTCTCTGTTCCTGGGGACTGGATGCTATTGACATGAGTACCATCCACTTCATCATCTATACAATTATATTGGTATGTATGCACACATACACACATACACACATACACAATAGCGAGAGTTCCCAGATTAGTGAGATTGCCTAGAGTGCTCAACACCACAACTGCACAAGATTGGAGCATTACCACAACTAGGCAGAACAGAACAGAGACAACCCGGCTAGGTCATTGTTGTAACCCTGCGTTTCATGCACATAGCAAAGCTAAGGCAATCCTCAGACAACTGATAACCTGTACATCATCTGGGTCCAAATCTATACCCAGGCAGGTAGTAAAGCGCGCAAAGGTAGTTAAGCACGACATTGGTGTGACATTTCAAGTTAGTGAGACATGGTGCGGGTGGTGTCAGTTTTTACATGGGAGGTGAAAAGGAGGGAGAGAAGGAGAGGTGAAATTCAAGTTACAGTGAGGGCATGCAGGTGCTAGCGACGGCATAAAGGAGACACCAGAGCTGTAGCGCGAGAGGTAGAACTTATTCTGGTGTCGACATTTTGATACTAAGGCCACAACAAAAAGATTTCGTGTTTCCGGTCGGCCGACCGGGTCCGTTTTTTCAAAAATTATGGAATTTGTTTTGGTAGCTTTAGTAGCTTTAGTAGCTAGTAGTACTATATGTAGTGTGCGTGCAATTTTGTGCAGGCATGTTTTTGTGTCAATGTCAGTACTATGCGTCTATTGATGCTGACCCATTGGTATTGCATACAATTCTCAGAAATCTCTGAACTATGCAATACATCTACTGCGTCCCGCGGTGGTATTCTACTCCATATTCCATGTGTAAATATGTATATATTGTGTATCACCAGTGTCTGATCCAAACTTTCTCAATTTGGCTCATGTCTATGAATACAGCAGGGAAATAAACTTTCAAACCAAAAAATAATAATTTTCCGACCGACCGGGCGTATTTTTTCGGGGGGTGCCGACCGGAAACACGAAATCTTTTTGTTGTGGCCTAATTATTCTGATTTTTGTTGAGGAGCGTGGCTGTGTCAGCGCGGATGATATTGACCTTTTCTGCTAAGCACAGGACGCACATTTTCGTGATGTTGCTGTTGGTCTTTGCTCTGTCGACGATGGACCACCTAATGTCGTACTCTTCACCCTGGTCCTGCAGTGCCCACAGGTGCTTCGACAGCTGCGTGCTTTTGCGGTACTTTTCGTACCTCATAGTCGTGAGGTGGTTGCCATAGCGTGTTTTGAATGGTGTCTCGCAAAGCCTGAAGTACCGCTTCTCCTCTCCTGAGCTCCGAGTCGTGATGGCTGCGGTCGAAGCACTTGTGGGCACTGCAGGACCAGGGTGCAGAGTATGACATTAAGTGGTCCATCGTTGACAGAGCAAAGACCTACACGCTCTTGCTGGTACTTGCAGTGTACACTGGTGTGCATAACAAGCACATTTACCTCCTTGTAGACTGTGTGGCTGAGAGACACTCTTGACTTGCCTCGATACTAACAACTCCACATTGATCCCAGACACCTGGATGGGCATCACATACAGCAGCACGCAACGCTGAGTCAGCCATCTTCATCATATAGAAGTTTGGAGAATGATAGGATTGGCTCTGGATAACTTGCATTCAATTTCCTCACCGCCTGACCAAACAGGCTGGTAAGCCATCAAGGCTTGTTTCAAGCAACTCACTTGCTTTGCAGTTTGCACTCAAGCAATACCGGTACTCCCAATTTGCTATATGCCGATGATCATAACGTGTAACTGGCATCCACAACAAGCCAACGGACTACCTTAACTTCCAAGGAGGTCCGTTGCACAACAGGTAGAGATACAAGAAGGCAAGCACCTTACCTGCATAAGATGGTCAACTTCTTCCTGTGACCAATTCTGCACATCCTGGCGGTTGATTTCGACGAGCCGATCGCCGACATTCAGATGTTCCACACTGCAGCCTGGCAGCTGGAAAGCACACATGGCACATGACAATGTTTGATTGACGGAGTAGGCAAAACGTCATGGGTTGTATGAAGACATTACAAGTACTTGCTTGTCAATACATGTAGTAGTATTTCCTGTTTTCCTCACATAAAATAACTACTGAGTAACTACAGAGCGATTACTCAAGACACATGCACACCATATGATATAGGCCACCAAGCCGTGCTTTATCATGCATCTACTTCTTGTGCAATGTATGAGTCTGGTATGCTTACGATTTGTTGAACGACAATCCCACTTGTACTGGCAGTGCAAGAACACGAATGCAGCAGGACACCACACACAGTACACAGCAGGACACCACACACCACACACAGTACACAGCACAAGAAACACAACAGTACACTATGAGTATACATGCCATGCACTGTGTTACTAACATACTCATGATCCAGTATGACATCAACACCGCGCATGATTGATGTGGCATAAAATTTAATAAGAAAACATGGAATCCTTTATTGGCACAGCAGAGCAAGGCATACCCCCCCCCCCCCCCCCTGATCAAGAATACAACAGACTATTACAATAGCTATGACTAGCCACAGTCATATCACATAATTATGGCACATTGTGTGATAAGCCCGTAAGAAAAGAACAATGTGTGCTGACAGCTGCCTGTACAACTTACTGTTTGTAGTCAAAGCGAACACCCCAGCCCAGGCCATGGTCGTCAGCTACTGATCTACACAAGGGTATGCGATGGTGCTCCACTGAATAAGAAGACAACCCCACAGCGTACAGATACATGTATGTGCATCAATGTCGGCACAGACTGGATGTACTCATTGATATGCTGGTGTGCAAGTCTTAGTGAATGAAGTAAAGGCAAGTAGCTAGGCCAGAAGCACCAATGGTTAAACATATATGCAGAGAGAGAGAGAGAGACAGAGAGAGGGAGACAGAGAGAGACAGAGAGAGGGGGAGAGAGAGAGAGAGAGAGAGAGAGAGAGAGAGAGAGAGAGAGAGAGAGGGGGGGGAGAGAGAGAGAGAGAGAGAGAGAGAGAGAGAGAGAGGGGGGGAGCCCGGGGAGAGACAGAGAGAGAGAGAGAGAGAGAGAGAGAGAGAGAGAGGGGGGGGGGGGGGAGGGAGAGACAGAGACAGAGAGACAGAGAGAGAGAGTGAGAGAGAGAGAGACAGAGAGAGAGAGAGTGAGAGTGAGAGAGAGTGAGAGAGAGTACGGCATCACACTCAGTGACTGTAAGCTGCATGGTAAAACCCCATACTCAGTCTGCGAGGCTGTGCTGACGGAGCTAGTATTACCTTGCTCTGCTTGAAACAGGCTTGGCGATAGTTTACCACGCAGGATACATAATGTCACGGTTGGCGTCTGAGTTACCAGAACAGCTCTAGCCTGCTGGAATGTGGCATTGCGCAATGAGTGTCCATTTGCCTGAACACACAAAAAAAGATAAGATACAAAAAGTGTTGAATGTAGTATGAGTGCCAGTCTCTCTGCATAGCAGAACAATCACACATCACTGGTTGGTGTAGCAGCTAATCTGGCCGCTGGTCTAGTGTTGGCATGACCAGTTTTCACTCACGGCAATCAGTTGTGTTTTGGTAGTGGCCAGGGTATTGCATAGCACGGCTATAGGTAGTTGTCATTAGCTAGTCTGTCAGTGGCCACAGGACTGGCTATAGCACCTTCAGTTGGACAAACCTCTTCTAAAGGGAATTTTAGACACCTGCACAGTAGTCTTGCAACTGGGGTCCAGAGAGAGGGCCAGAGGTGATGCATGCAGCATTCTCCTGGTCCCATTTCAATCCAGTGACAACGTAGATCACTCCACTGTGGCCATGAAAGACAGCTGCTATCCAATCAGACATGGTAGTACTGAGTACACCAGAGATAATGACGTAAGCCACGCTGCAGTACACTGTACTGTAGATACAGCTACAACTGTGACAGCTGCAGCACTACACGTACTACAGCCACGGTCATGGTCATAGTACTGTACTACTGTTGCAAAAGAAGGATCCACGAGCGGGATCCGAACCCAGCACCCCTGTCTTTCCGGGACAGTGCCCTACCGATTAGGCCACCGGGGATCACACACACTCATGGGTCCTTCTTGCTACACTGCTCCCCCGCCCCAACAGGCTGTGTCCTCACACCGAACCTACTCGCGGGGGGTACGATGGGTCGTGGGTTCGAGCCATTGCCAGGCGCCAATGGTGCAAAAGAAGGATCCACGAGCGGGATTTGAACCCAGCACCCCTGTCTTTCCGGGACAGTGCCCTACCGATTAGGCTACCGGGGATCACACACACTCATGGGTCCTTCTTGCTACAGTACTATCCGTGTTGCCAAGTTACCTTGGCAACACGGATACTATGACTACCATGGCTGTACCACGTGTGCTAAGCATTCCAGTCCAAACATTACCTGTAAGATTTGATCACCGACTGCAAGACGCCCATCACGTGCTATCACACCTGTGCGAGTGATTCCATTGATAAATATTCCTTCCTGCAAGAGCAAGCAATGAACACATGCAGACACACACATACACACCAACACAGCAATGCTATGTGCATATAGACCTGACACTGAGTAAGGCAAACACTACTTCACCTGCTGTACATGTACTAACAGTTAGGAAGAGAGATGTTCATGCAAGAAAACTTTGCCTATGCAGCCTATGCCCTTCTGCAGTGTGCACGCCAAGTAGTATCCACGGGCAAATATGCTATATCATGCTATATCATGCTATATCATGCTATATCATGCTATATCATGCTATATGGTTGAAGACACAGCAAGTCACACCTATGCCCAGGCCCAGTGAAACACAGTAGTAGGTTTGCCTTGCACTGGTGCACTGGTGAGCGATAGTCGAGAGGGAGAGATATATGAGTGAGATTGCCATGCAAGAAAGGCCAGTACAGTGACATAGAGAAGCAAAACTGTGACAAGGTGACCGCGTGGGGGGGGGGGGGGGGGGGGGGTGGAGGGAGGCAGATGCACGCCAGTTGGTTTCAAAGATTATATAATTATTTACTATTTCGGTTCATATTCGCTCAAGATGCAGCACCAGGCAAGATGCAGCACCAGGCAAGATGCAGCAGCAGGCAAGATGCAGCAGCAGGCAAGATGCAGCAGCAGGCAAGATGCAGCAGCAGGCCATGAACGCTGAGTAGCTTAGTACACATGGGTACAAGTACTAGCAGTCACAGAGTACTAGTATTCTTACCAGTCTTGTGTCAGCACCACCGACAATACTCATGCCAAGCTCGGCACTTCCTTTTGGTACTTCGATTGTAACTGCTTCTCCAGACACGATAGCCTTCTTGGTCTCTGCTTGCCCCAACATAAATATCCAGACGGTGCAATGAACACAGAAGCAAACACTTGAATCACCTAGGGAATAGACCAGGTGTGTACACTTTGGGTAAGTATCTTGAGAACAGCAACTAATGAACATATGGCGATATACAGTGGAGATTGGATATAACGACACTCCTTCGGGAGAAAACAAAATGTCGCTATATTCGATCTGTCACTAAACCCGATCTTCATATGTAGTATGCAATATGTATCTCAAAATTACAGAAATGTATTGCAGATATGCATGTGCATTATAATGTATATGGATTTCAGATGTGTATGTACATGTACAGTGCTGGCAACTGAAATCCGACCTCCCTAGCGTCTCGTACGAGTCGCTAACGCGGCTAGCGCACCGCTAGGGGGGGGGGGGGTCGGATTTCAGTTGCCAGCACTGTACATCATATGTGTCTTACATGCATAGTTCAAGCCAAACGTCATGCATAGCAATAGCAACTATACCGCTGCACTGCGGCTACAACGTGCAATGACTAACACCCGTGGAGTGACCCAGAGGGCCGGGCATGTGCCACAGACATGTCCCATGCATGCCACTCCGCCCGAAACAAGAGGAAAGTCGTTCTATTCTATGCATTTTCAGGTCTTCAAGCACCAACGAAGTGTCAGTAAATTCGATCTGTCGTTATTTTCGAGGTTGTTATACCCGATCTATAATGTACAGAAAGGACTTGCTAAACGACTTAGGCAACAGAATTTTGTCGCTAAGCTCGATTTGTCGTCATATCCAATCTCCACTGTACAGTCAGACCTCGCTTATCCGGTCCTCGTTTATCCGGATCTCTCGCCATCCGGAAGAAAATCGCTGGTTACCGATGTGCAGCATATGTTATGCATACAACATAACCGGACCTCGCGATCCGCATACCGGTGCATGATTTTGTGTACAAACTGGTTAAAATGTGTACAAAAAGCTTCGTCGTATCCGGTTGCATGTGGCTTGCAGAAGCTAGAATCAGGGAGTTGTACAAGCAAATGAGGTCCTTGACCTGCTGAGTGCATGCGGACAGCACTCAGTTGCATGCACCTGTCATTTTTCTCGCTTGTTTTACATACTGTGCACGCTGGTTGTACTGCATAGGACCCGTCTACGGTCTAGTCTACATGTACATGTATGTATGTACGATGTCACTGCTTTTGACATGCATATACAGTATGTGTGTTCAGCTTTCCGGTTCCCTCGCCTATCCGGATATTTTTGTGGAAAACAGATGTGTGCGGTTAAGCGAGGTCTGACTGTATTGCCGTGTGATTATTGCCGTGTGATTATTGCCGTGTGATTAAATAGAGTCAAATCATGCTACTAGTATATCGTACAAGGGCACGGACACTGTGTGTTCATTCCTATCCTGATACAAACAACTCAACATGATATTGGTAAGGCCAGGCGCGTATACAGGGTCGGTGGGAGGGGGATTACATGGGTCTGTTGTAGTAAATAGAGAGGTTCCGGGGTACGATTTTCCGTGCCAAAATTGGTATGGGCGCTACGGATCTTTTTGAGGCGTGCTTCATACGATTTTTCGGCATGGAGAAACCGTGTGGACTGGCTTTCATACGAACCCTGTTTCGTATGGAGATTTTGCGTCGAGTGCAGACAGATTTTTCGCGTACAAATTTGGTCCGAGAAACATCGATTTTCCGCAGGAAGTTTCGATTTCGGTACATATTTTCAAAATAAAAAGGTATAGTGCGGGGAATATGACGTGTTTACGATCGTAACCTAGGCAATGACGGCAAACACATAAGTTCCGCACTCCGGAACATTTCACAGCTCGAAAACGACATATGAAAAATCCGTACCACCTCTACGGATTTTGGCACGAAAAATCGTACTCCGGAACCTCTCTAATAGCTAAGTCACGTCAACCAACTCTCGGGCGCGTCGTGTGTTTCAGCGCATGCGTAGTGCATGAAGACGTCAAGTACATGAAGTCGTAGAATCTGCGACTTGACGACTCGTTGACAGCACGGCGACGCGCAGCGCAGGGCAACAAAAGACAGAAAAACGGAAAAAAATCGTTCAGTCGGCTGACAGAAAGGGGGGGGGGTTCATCCGAACCCTGTGGAATCCCCCCTGGGTACACGCCTGAAGGCATCAGTGGAGATTGAGACCAAACTGCCAAAGATCCCATTATGGACATTGATCATGTGCTACTACTGTTCACTGTTCAACACAATCATGTTCAGACATTGTAGGGAGTGTCTACTCTACACACTGGCTTGCAAAGCAGAGCATGCCGTCAATAACAGCAGTAACGTTTGTCACTGACCTGTAGCTGCCAAGCACGGCCACAGGTGTCTTTCCAACATACACCGCGGCCCCACAAACTCGCATCCGCAGATCTCCGCCCGTGGACACGGAACCAGCATGCCTGGGCATCTAGATCGCAAGTGCTCCTCCAGTTCAGCACGCTTCACTTCTTCCTGACAGTTCTCACGCATTGGACAATGCACAGGCAATTTGTCCAGCAGTCTCCTGACCAGCATTGCTGACGGGCGCAGTTCAGACCTGGACAAAGGTTTCCTGTCGACTGGGCATGATTTTCTCAATCTCTGGTAGGGACGGATGCATGAGAAGCAGAATGTATGCCCACAAGGCGTATCCACGGGTTCTAACAGGCCAACAAGGCAAATCTGGCAAAGCAGCTCGCTGTCGACTTCGCCAACATAACGATACGTGTGCGGTGCATCGAGAGGGTGAACAACTCCACACTGAATACAAATGCCCGTTGGTCCGCTAACGGGTCCCATCTTCCCTAGGACAAACTTTACAAATGTTGGTTACAACTAGTGGCTGAGAGTGAAACAAACGTATCAACAAACATGCCATGTAGACGTACGTGACAAAGTAACCTAGGCCTAGCCCTGTGCAGGGACTCCTACAAGACTCAACATCAATCATACATCGATAAGAAACAGCAGCATGAGACAGATTATAATAATTATTTTTTTCGCTCTACTGCACTGACAAGTGACATCATGATCAGGTTTACGATCACGTCGCACAAGAACCGTTGAAAGCAGGGAGTCGTAAAATACCGTGGTATTTTACGACTCCCTGGTTGAAATGCACAGTCTAGCCAGTCTGAGCCAGATGATCAGTCAGTGCAGTTTACTGTGTAGAAGTCACTCCATGATCCACTAATTTTCGGGTATAGGGCCAGGCATGGGCCACCCTCGAGCCTCACTCACCCTCGGCCTCAGGGTGAAAATAATAATAAAACCAATACAAAGACTAGCTTGAGGACATCTGCTGTGACTCGAGGTGCTGTAGAAAAGTGAGAAGAAGATTGGAAGAAATGTGCCAGATAGGACTAGGAGGTGTGTACAAAATTATGTACAATTGTATGTGTGGAGCGAGTGGAGGGTAGGAGTACAAGATGCTGGGAGACTGAACGGAGAGAAATGCAGCATGTTGATGTTGTCCTGGACTGTGCGACGTTGCACACAATAACGTGTGTGCACTCAGTGACTGGTAGCTGGTTGCATCGCACTTCAAAATCAAGTAGCACGTTAGTTGAACTACACGTGTCACTGTACTAGTAATACTGGTCTTCACCCTATGATGATTTGTATAATTATAGCTCTAGCTCGACATCATTCGCACTATCACAAGTCATAATTATTGATACGCAATTCACATTCTCAGTTCATTTTGTGACAAGCACCCCCCCCCCCCCCCCCCCCTCCCCCCCGACGTCAATTTACACCAGCCTTTCACATTCTGAAACTCGGATGTTGGTCAAAGTAATGGATGTAAAAAGGAAAGAGAGACATGGCCCGATATGATAGGAATTAGGAGTTGTGAGTAGTTGGCCACCACTCTAACTACTACTACTAGTACACTGTAGTTACAATACCTGATGTACTTCTTTTGGAAGTAGTACGGTGAGAAAGTCAGAACGTGAGACAACTAACTAGGCACAAAAGTGAGAGGGTACTGACTCACTACTACTGAGACATTCAACAACATGACACCTACAATGTACATGTACATTGTACAAACAAAGCTGGTCTAGGTAGCTCCAGGTACAGACTACAGTAGGTGTGGTGTGTGTGTGTGCACATTGTACAATACATGTACATTGTACATGTACATGTCAATACAAGTCATGTACATGTACATGTACATGTAGATCTAAGTCTAACACATCTCCAAAGTGCAAACCGGAAACAGAGTCAGGTCGTTGAATGTCTCAGTACTCTGTCAGTTTTGTGCCTGGTTGTCTCACTCAGTACTCTGTCAGTTTTGTGCCTGGTTGTCTCACTCAGTACTCTGTCAGTTTTGTGCCTGGTTGTCTCACTTTCGGACAGTATTGTATCTAGTTTCAGTGGTGGACATTTATTCATAACTCGTATCCGTAATGTGTCCCTTCCTTTTTACTAATTTCACATCCCCATTCGAATTTCCCTTTCTGGGGGAAAGCATGCCGGCTTTCGTTGGCATCAATGTGGTATTGTGGCTACTTCTTTATCAGAACATCTGCAGTTTTGTCTAGCGTTATTCCTACATTTACATTTACATGACATTGTTGTACAAGTACAATTTTAAAGGGGAAGTTAAGGCAAAAATTAAAATTTCACCAGTTGTAGTCTTCGGGGTGCTGAGTCGAATGGTCGTGGTCCGAGGAAGCTGAGACGCTCCCTTCCTACTTGAATCCCAATCGAACTCGCGCACTTCCACCGAAACTGGGTGACTGCGCCCTACGAGATGGGGATTTGTATGCAAAATGTCACTAAAAGCGCCATTTCGTTCTTATAAAAGCACGGATGACCGCGATTGGCTCATATGTTGTACTCTTTTGGACGCTGAGTCGACTGGTTTTGGTCCGAAAAGGCTGCGATGCAGCGTTCTTCCTTTATTCCCAATCGAACATGGTTGAACAAGTGGTCACGTGCTCCTGGGTGCCCAAATCACCTGGTCACCACGCCAGCAGGTGACAACTTTCACACCAAGGTTCAACTCGAGTTCAACTCGAGTGACAGGACTGCACCCAAAAAAGGTCAAACAGGCTAGTAAGTTGTACCCTGCAGGCACGGTGACCAGCTGACTGGCGTACGCAGGAGCACGTGACCGCTTGTTCAACCATGTTCGATTGGGAATAAAGGCGGAACGCTGCATCGCAGCCTTTTCGGACCAAAACCAGTCGACTCAGCGTCCAAAAGACTACAACATATGGGCCAATCGCGGTCATCCGTGCTTTTATAAGAACGAAATGGCGCTTTTAGTGACATTTTGCATACAAATCCCCATCTCGTAGGGCGCAGTCACCCAGTTTCGGTGGAAGTGCGCGAGTTCGATTGGGATTCAAGTAGGAAGGGAGCGTCTCAGCTTCCTCGGACCACGACCATTCGACTCAGCACCCCGAAGACTACAACTGGTGAAATTTTAATTTTTGCCTTAACTTCCCCTTTAATGTACTACATGCGGTTCAGTCATGTATACATTGACTTTGTACATGACTGTATGTCTGCAGATGCGGTGTGCCCATTCCGCTCTAGCAAGTAACTATGGCTGCATTTCTAGCAAGTAGCATACGTCGTCACTATCCTGGACCCTGTCTAGACCAAGCATGTGTAAGTGTCATTGTAGACATGGTCTGTACCAGGCAGTACCAGGTGCCGCAACTCAATCTGAGCTGAATGATTATGTAGTACCAGGTACTGATGTGTTCAGGAAGTAGACTAGAATGCCAAAGCAAAGGCAAAGGTCAGGACATAGGTGGAAAAGTAGACGTGTTTATGCAGTTTTGTACCCAGTGTGGTTGCAGGCTGATCAAAATGTCAAAGCGTGACAAACATGTACTGTAGTACAGAGTACAGTAAGAAGCTGTAGTGTTGTAAGACCCAAGCAAGATTATCTCCTATCCCATCTCCTATCCAGCCGGTGGTTTCCGTGTCACATGTGCACAGCTGCAAGTTAGTTACTTAGTCAATACAATTGTTTCGTGTAATTAGTGCAAACGTAAGTGGAGTTCCCAAGCGGCCAAGGTAACCATCCTCATCCAAGCCATATCCCCCCACTATGCTACGGTAACAATAAGTGGTTATGATGGCCATCTGAAAGCCTCTTCACTGCTACTTCAAACTAGCAAGATGTTGACCTGACCTGGGAATGATTCCCTTATACATGTACATGTACATGCCTTTGTAATGTGTACAGCACAGGGCCTAGGGACACAATATCCAGCTGAAGAATGTCCGATGGTCAATGATGTACCTTCCTGGCACTCCAGTCTACACCTTGCTGCACTCGATCGGTATCATAGAGTATAATGTCATGATTGTATGATGGGTCCCAAATCAAAATGTCACAACGCAATGCCCAGAATGTCACGCTGCTGTAGTGTTTGTAATCTCCGGAAATGAGACTCCGCACTCCATAAACCGGCGGTATGGTCTACGGCCGTAGCGGTTTACGGCCGTATACCTTCTACGGCGGTAGTCTGCGTAGACCGTCTACAGCCTAGCCCGGGCATGCATAGCGTGGACGTGGTGATAAACCGTTCAACGCGCGTGGTGTCACGTACACAAATGTACATACCCCATGCCCACTCGACTCATGCACCATGTCACGGCATGTGCACGGCGATGACCGATGTGCAGGCTCCCCGTCGCCGGCACATCGGTCACCGAAGCTGCAGATCTGCACTACAAGTAGGACTCGGCTGTACATGGTCTGGGTCTCTGAAGACGACCAAGTGAGTTTGACCGCGGAGTGTGGGTCTACAGGCAAGGTTAGGTACAGGTCGCAGCTGCTAGCTGGTGCACTTCAATCTCCAGAATCAGAATAGAGAATGCCGATGTTCCTGATTGAAGTTCTGTGCCCGCGGCAAGAATGTAGTCATTTTTTAGAGCTCAAGAATCGCGCTAATCATGGCCATCATTGCGTTCGTCGTATTCAGGGCCAGCACAGTTCGTCTCTCTCGTGGAATTTCTGCTAGATGAAAAATTTCAACTGACGCTGTGGCCCGGTGTCATGCCGAAATCGAGGAGTTGCTGTTGCAAGCCGTACCTCCTTTCTTGGAAGCATTTCGATTCCTCGTGACCATTGGACAAGTAGAGAGCGCAAGGTATGACGGAAGTGGCAGCATTGTGTGCAGTTGTTGTCACACACTGCCACTGGCATGCACTAGGCCGAATAGTGTCATCATCGCCAAGCCACAATAATTATTTTCCACTGCCACACTACGGCAATTCAGTGCATGGGGCGCTAGCAGTTATGTACGCAGCACTCCTCCTGTCCGCCGAGCTACTTGATACCGGTATTTGTAGTAGAAAAGCTGGAGTGGCGCTGTCGCTGAACGCGGACTATCCTAGTCTGAGCTTCCTCGGCCAGAGTGGGTATCCTGCTGAGGAGCTGCAGCATGCTAACACTAACCAACACTCACAGATACAGCCAGGGAGGCGGCAAGTCATGGACCGTCTCCATCTTGATAGTTCAAGTACTGGCGAACAAGCTCATCCAAGAGTATCATATCCACATCCATACGACCATGGAAGAGAAGAGGCTGCCCCCACTACTAACCATGTCCAAGGAAGTATGGCTGATAGGTTTAGGGTGACGACGGCCTCTACAGATCCTGCTGGCAGTGTGACGGCAGATGCGGGACAAGGCGATGGATCAATGACTGGTGAAAGCTATGATCAACCACGCTTTGCAGGTCAACCTGGGTACCATCCAGAAGTTTCTTTCTTTGGTTTGGATGACCCTGATGACCCTGATGGCACATCAGAATCAAACACGGGTGAGTGGCTAAGTACATGATTGTCTAAAGGCACACAAAGGCATACATGCATGTAACAAAGAACAGAGTTTCGCCGGGCAATCATGTAATCACGTCATGCTTTCATTGTTTAGGTACAATGAACCC